CTCATGAAATACTACTCCTAGTAGTAGTAATAAGAGTAGAGGCTGGGCTTCTCTGGTCTTGAGCCTTGGAGAGAAGCCCACGGCTGCATGCTGCCCATTTTTAACCATTGCCCTCGAAGGCCGATTTCATGCTGAGACAGTGGTTGGTTGGGGACTCTGGTGACAGTATTATTTGTCAGAACCATTCTCTGGGTCACAAGCATTTTTAATTAAAGTTGTCCTATAAATAGCTCATATTCATTTCCTCGGGAATCTCACAAATCAGTAGAGACTGGGAGTGATCCGCTTAGGTCAGGACATCTAGCCAGATGAGGTAAATGAAATTGAACTTGAGGGATTAAGGATACTTCTTTTTAAGATAAATGCATCGCCCTTCTAGAGAAGGTGGAATTTGTTTTAAATAAACATCTAGAAGGTATTTTTCTCCTGCAGTGGTGGTCCCTTTCGTTTTTTAATAAGTGGAGTTAATCATTCTTTGAAATTTACAGTCAAATGAAAGGACAAGAAAGATAGACATTGAAAATATTTGTCATAGAGCCAGAGTCTTGAGACTGTCCTTGGGGGTTACCGAAGGTATGGGATGTGATTCCTTGCTCTAGACATGGATGGTCTTTTAAATCCCACTACTTCTTTGGACTTTGAAAATTGCATTCCTGTGGAGACCCAGCTCATAAACCCCAAAATGGGTTTTAGATGAAAAAGGTGATCTCTTTGCCTATTCTGGAGCAACAAGAATGTGGGGAAAAGGTAAAATTAAATCAGGTATAAGAGTAATTGCACTTGAAAACTGTGGTATCTGACTTTAGCAAATTAGAATGTGAGGACGTCAATTTTATTCCTTTCAGGAAAAACACCTTTCAACTCTCCCACAGTTTGGTTATAAGGATGTTTTAAAGATCTCAAGTAGCTGCAGATTGTTTTCATGCACATCTTCGTATTACACAGCTGCTGGTGTTAATGGTAGCCAGTGTTTCCAGGCATTTGGTTTATGATAGTTGTAGAGAATCTGTCTGTATAAACACCAGTCTGGGTATCACTCCTGGTTGCCTTCCAAGAACCTTGTGCTTCTCCTTTTGTGACACTGTCACCATATATCACAGTGTGTCCTTGCCTGAATCCCTCTCTGTTGTCTTTGTGGGCAGGATTGTCTGTCTCACCCACTCTTCTGTCTCCATTATATACTTGACATGTGGGAGGTGCTATTACTTATACCACTGGGAGATAGATGCCAAAGACGTGGAGATGAATAAAACAAAATACATCTATTTAAGGAGCTCAAAGACAAATGAGCTAAGGAATACAACTCAATGTGAGCAGTGTAGTAAAGAGGTAAATACAGATGCTCTAGAGCTCAGGTGCCCTGGCGTTGTTACTGAGGCCACGTCAGGCATCACAACCCTGTCCACGTGGCATTTTAGCCTACAGATTCAAATTCCTTTCCCATCAAATCTCTTCAGTTAACTCCATATAAGAAAAAAATAACTAACTTGGGTGTTCTTCCTTTTAATTTTTCTTAATCATCTTCTGATATGGAGGTCAATAAGCAATTTCTTAGAGTCAACCAGAAAAAAAACCCTGGTTAATCCTAAACTAGGTAATAAGTTCCTAAAAATCTTGAGTTTCTTGTGTTACCATTTGACTAGTGTTAGTGTTTGACACTAATGCCATCAGTTTTTAAATGTGCTCATGAAATACTACTCCTAGTAGTAGTAATAAGAGTAGAGGCTGGGCTTCTCTGGTCGCGCAGTGGTTGAGAGTCTGCCTGCCAATGCAGGGGACACGGGTTCGTGCCCCGGTCTGGGAAGATCCCACATGCCGCAGAGTGGCTATGCCCATGAGCCATGGCCGCTGAGCCTGTGCATCCAGAGCCTGTGCTCCTCAACGGGAGAGGCCACAACAGTGAGAGGTCCGCATATCGCAAAAAAAAAGAAAAAAAGAGTAGAGGCTAACATGACAAAGTGCTGTTTGCTAGACATTGTTCTCAGGGCTTCACCTGTTTTAATCCATTTAATCCTCAGAACAACCCTCTGAAATAGGTACTATTTTTATCCCTTTGTTACACTTGGGTACATAGAGGGGAAGTAAGGTCACAGGGACAGTAAATGGTGGGGTTGGGATTCCAATCCATGTAGCCAAGCACTGGCAGCCCAATTCTTTTTTTTTTTTTAATTTTATTAAAGTATAGTTGATTTATAATGTGTTAATTTCTGCTGTACAGTTATACATATATATATACATTCTTTTTTTATATATTCTTTTCCATTATGGTTTATCATAGAACATTGAATATAGTTCTCTGTGCTCTACAGTAGGACCTTGTTGTTTATCCATCCTGTATATAATAGTTTGCCTCTGCTGATCCCAAACTCCCATTCCTTCCCTTCCCTACCCCTCCCCCTGCCTTGGAAGCCAAAAGTCTGTTCTCACTGTCTGTGAGTCTGTTTCTGTTTTGTAGTTTTGTTCATTTGTGTTGTATTTTAGATTCCACATACAAGTGATATCATATGGTATTTGTCTTTCTCTTTCTGACTTACTTCTCTTGGTATGATAATCTCTAGGTCCATCCATGTTGCTGCAAATGGCATTATTTCATTCTTTTTGAAGGCTGAGTAATATTCCATTATATATATATATATATATATATATATATATATAGGTGCATGTATCTTTTTTTAAAATAAATTTATTTATTTTATTTATTTATTTTTGGCTGCATTGGGTCTTCGTTGCTACACGCAGGCTTCGAGCGGGGGCTACTCTTCATTGTGGTGCATGGGCTTCTCATTCCTTCTCATTGCAGAGCATGGGCTCTAGGCTTGCAGGTTTCAGTAGTTGTGGCACACGGGCTCAGTAGTTGTGGCTCGCGGGCTCTAGAGTGCAGGCTTAGTAGTTGTGGTGCACAGGCTTAGTTGCTTGGTGGCATGTGTGATCTTCCCAGACCAGGGCTTGAACCCACATCCCCTGCACTGGCAGGTGGATTCTTAACCACTGCACCACCAGGGAAGCCCCAGCATGTATCTTTTTGAATTATAGTTTTGTCTGGATATATGCCCAGGAGTGGGATTGCTGGATCATATGGCAACTCTATTTTTAGTTTTATGAGGAACCTCCATACGGCAGCCCAATTCTTAATTACTATGCCATGCTTTCTATAGCAATTACAGAAAACATGTGCTGAATGAATGGGTAAATGAATAAATATGCAACGTTACTCTCTATTACTTTGACTGGAGTCTTAGGTAATTTGTGTCTTGCCTGTCTCCATTTAATACACACGCATGCACACTCACCAATTTGCTAGACCTTCAGTGGGTGATACCTTCAGAAAGTTTTTCTTTTCTTCCGTAGATTGAAAGAAGACATTTTGAGATTTTTCATTCATCTCTAATTTTCTTTTGAGTTTGAAAATTTGTTGAGCTTGGCAATTAGAAAATACACTTTTAGAAACATGGAAATCCATTTTTGCTGGACTATGGATTTGTAATTCAAATACGAGAAATTTGCCAAATTCAAACCACACTTTGTTCCCTAAATGGTACTTAAATATGTGAATTCGAAGAGATGGCATTGGTCATTCCACAGAGAGTCAAGTGTCTTCGCCTTTCTGAGTCAAATCAGATTTAGGCTTCTGGGCTTATTACTAAGCACTCAGGGCATTTTTATTCACAAGCTCAAGGTGTCAGGTCTGAGAAAAATGATGCTGTACATTCTCTTTTCATGTGTCTGGTTGAATGCTTAGTAGTGGTAACTTCTGATAAAATTATGGACGGTGTCCATGATCAGAGCACATGAAAGGAAAAGTTGCTTTGTGTTTTATGCCAAACCATTGCCTTTCACCTGACCTTCATAGCAGTACTAGGGAACTAGGAAATGGTTTACTTGTGAGTAATTGTTAGAACCTGGGTGATTTCATTTCATTTGACTCATTAATTAGGTGTTACCTTATACATTGTAAAAGAAAGTGTGACATGACAATCTCAGATGGTTGTGGAAAATGTGCCAAAAAACGAATTCAGAATTATTGAAGTGTGTTAAAGTGGATTGTTAGAGTAGAAGACCAAAACAACTAGAAAAAGATCCATTGAAGCTGTGGCAATTGATCTGGGCCTTGCCACAAAGGGAGGAGTTGGAGGTGTGCCTTTGAGGGGCCCTATATTCCTGTTGGAGGAAACAGCTCAGAGGTGGAAAGGGCGGGGTGATAAGGGAAGTAACAAATGGTTTGGTGGACTATAGAAATATTTAGAGTAAAGAAAGGATAAGGCAAACCCCTCCCATAATCAACATCAGCCTCCCCTCCCACTTCCTTCCCAAAAACCTCCCCAAGTAAATCATACAATATAGGTAAGAGAGCTAGCTATGCAAATGCAGCTGTGTCAAATAGCCAGGCCTCCCTGTCTCCCAGTGAGATTGCCACCTCGGAAGGCATTCCTATATGAATGGATCACACGTATTTTCATCCAGAGAGTTACTGGGGTGGAGGGCATCCCATTCAAATATCCATTTTGAGGCTTTTTCCAACTGTAGGGCAAATCCTTCCAGATACTGCTTCTTAGTAAACATCAGCTGGTTTGCGCTGAAGGAGCTAAACACAAGTATGAGTCTTTGGTATGTGTGCAGTTGGCACTGACTTTAATTCAAAGTACATAATGTTTGGGCTTCCCTGGTGGCGCAGTGGTTGAGAGTCCGCCTGCCGATGCAAGGGACACGGGTTCGTGCCCCGGTCTGGGAGTATCCCACATGCCGTGGAGCAGCTGGGCCCGTGAGCCATGGCCGCTGAGCCTGCGCGTCCGGAGCTTGTGCTCCGCAACGGGAGAGGCCACAACGGTGAGAGGCCCACGTACCGCAAAAAAAAAAAAAAATACATGGTGTTTGATGTTGGTGCCTGTTGCATAGCAGATGCTCAGTAAATTATTTTCTGCTCTTCCCACTTCCATTATTCAGTTTATTGTTGATTTTTTTAAAAAACTTTCTCATGTATTTTTCTTTGTTCTCTTTTAAAGGAGAGGTTTAAGGAAGCTGAGGAAATATACCAGGCTGGAATAAAGAACTGCCCAGATAGCTCAGACTTATACAACAACTATGGAGTTTTCCTAGTTGATACTGGTAAGCGAGATTAAAGAGACCCTGTTCTGTGGAGATGAGATAATACTATCTATCAAGCTAAATGGCAACCATGCCAATAATGCCTCAAAAGTAGAGCTCACTGGGCTTGGCAGGAAGCTCACACCGTTGACAGTCACATTGTACTTTGGGGCTGTCATTTCTCTAAATCTTCAAGCTCAATTCAGTAAAATCTGCCAGTTCTTATAATCAGATTGCTAAGGAAAGCTCCCCAGGTGGCAGGAAGTGGCCTTGATAATTTAATGAGCAACAGTCTCCTTTGAATAGCATTTATACAAGTTTATAAATCTATGATGATGAACTGTTCTCTACAATGATGCAGAACCTGCCTCTGAATCTATTTACTGGCAGATGGTAAATACTTTTCTACAGCGGATTAAAAAGTCTTAAATTGTTTCATTGTTCTTTATGTGATACATACTGTAGAAAATGTACCATTATAATTGATAGAGTACCCTTATAGGACAGGTGCTATATAAAATACACTTTATCTTATTTAATGTAAAACTTTACTGGACAGGAATTCTGTTTTCTTTATGGTTTGTACCCCGCATACTGTTGGCATGTTATGAATACTTGTAAAGAATGAAAAGATGCTTGAATTTAATACAAAAACACCGCTTTGTTCTCATTGACTATTAGACTACCTGCCCTGCAATAAAATTCAATTTTAATTATTCTGTCCATATGAAATGCTCAAAAGGGTTTTTATTTTCTAGGATATTTGAAGCTCTTCTGTTTCTTAGGACATAAATTTACATTCTGATACGCCTAGGAAACATCCCTTATTTTCACATGTAAAATTGTTTCTTAGTGCCACCTGCTGGTTCTTTGGCAACATAATAATAAATTAGGTATCAAAGATTAAAAACAAACAAAAAATTGAAGAGACCACCTGTTGGCCTGATCTAGCCCTCTTCCTTCTACTTCAACAGCAAAATATCCCACCCTAACTCCCAGCCCCCCAAAATATCACTGACCACCCTCTATATTTTCCTACCACTCCCACTGTATTGTTTTTATACTACTGAAATTCTCCCTATCATTACCTATACATAGACCTCTACGTACGTAGAGTCTTTTTTGGCACCTCCTAGTCAAACTTGCATCCAAAGAAGGTAGACTTGAGAAGATGTCTGTGTGGGTAGTAAACATTCCATGCCATGTAGAGCCTCAGACTTGTCCACAATTCATTCACTTACATATAATTTCACTAGGAAGCTTCTTTGGGGAACCTTATCATACTAGAGAGACTTGATGGTAGTTCTGACCTTTACACTCACTTCCCCTGGGATTTTTGTCAAGTTTCTTAATGTTTTTGCACTTTAGGGCCTGTATCTGTAAAGTGATAATATTTTTTTAATATCTTAAATCCCAAGAGGCAACTAAGTGCTATCAAAAGGCAGCTAAATAGGATCAAAATACCTGCAAAAATCATGAGATCATTTAATTAGTGTTTTAAAATATACAATGCATTGCACAAATGCAAAGTGGTATTATTTTTATTTTTAAAGTCCCATTCAATAAATACCCTCTAAACAAAGATGTATGATTTAAAAAGAGATTTTCAAAATACAGAAGATGCCTGCTTATTTAAAGCAGTGCCTCAATCACTAGATTGTGGTATAGTAATTGTGACAGACCCTCAGAAATTGCTTCAGGACAGTTTTCTTCCTATAACAGCCCATTCCACTTTTTGTATAATGAGAAGCAACAATATCTTACATAAATACCAATCACTGATAATCTCAAAACATCATATTAACTAAGGCAATGGCCAGAAACCAGTTTGACTAAAATAATACATTTAATAAAAGAAACAGGTTTTAGTTTTTACTGCTTTTTTACTATTAATTTCTTTGGAAGTGAAAATGAATAGTGAAATGGTCCACAGTTAGGCAGTGGCAAGGAGAAGCCAAAATGTGAGCTAATTTACAAACTGAATAACTGGTGGTATGGCTGTAGGAAAAAAGATCATCAGAAGAGAAGTTAAAGAGGTCATGTGTTTAGGGACTTCCCTGGTGGCACAGTGCTTAAGAATCAGCCTGACAGTGCAGGGGACATGGGTTCGATCCCTGATCCGGGAAGATCCCACACGCCGTGGAGCGACTAAGTCTGTGCACCACAACTACTGAGCCTGTGCTCTAGAGCCTGTGAGCCACAACTACTGAGCCCACACTCCTAGAGCCTGTGCTCCGCAACCAGAAGCCACCACAATGCGAAGCCCGTGCACCGCAACCAGGGAAAGCCCCCGTGCGGCAACAAAGACCCAATGCAGCCAAAAAAAAAAAAAAGTCTGTGTGTTTTATAATTAAGGCATGTTCTGCTCTTACCAACCTACCACCTGTTGATTACAGGCTCTCCAGAGAAGGCAGTGGCCCATTACCAACAGGCCATCAGACTTAGCCCGAGCCATCATGTAGCCATGGTGAACCTGGGGAGACTCTACAGGTCACTGGGAGACAACAGCGTGGCTGAAGAATGGTACAAACGGTAAAGTTCCTGTTTTTCCCTTTGTAAGTCATCCTAAGACCTCTGCAATTGGCCATCAAATTCTTAGTTATTTGGAACAGATGCTTTCAGAATACTAGCAAATTTTGCCAATGCAGGCAATACAGATTCTCCTCTCCAAAGAGAACAGTACAATAAATGGCACTTTGGGGATAAATGATATCCCAGTTAATGACTTTTTTGCCTGCTGGTTAAAGCATAGTGCTAAACCAAGGTTGGAATTTAATTCCCATTTTAGTTAGTCCATTGTTTTCTGTTGAAGCTAAGGACTACAACCCAAACCACAAATAGAAATTTCGAAAACGGATCTAGATGAAAAACTGCATACATCAAAACAAGTCTATCACCATAAACGGAAAAGATCCTTGGAGCTCAGTTTACGTATTGGTGGGTCACTAGAGACATGCTTATAGTCAGAGGCTGGCACTGTGATCTTTTTTTAACATTCTTCTTGATATAAAAACAAAGACCATGTGGGAGCAGAGTCTCAAACCATGTACAGTGGTCCCTAAATCTAAGTTTCAACCTTTGGAGATGTACCTATTAGAAGAAAATCGTCCATTTGTTTTCTCAAAATTCAGCGCCTTGCAGGTGACACGCAAAGCTGAGATATTATCACCGTTGGGAGCTCTATATTACAACACTGGCAGATATGAAGAGGCTTTGCAGATTTACCGGGAAGCTGCGTCCCTTCAGCCTTCCCAAAGGGAACTTCGCCTGGCACTGGTGAGCAGATGGACAAAAGAAAGGAAATGGAGTAGGAAATAGACTCATGGCATGCAATACAGGGAGCTGTAGTCAGTATGCCTCAAAATGGGAACTAGAACACTATACTATATCCATTTAATGACTATTCATATAACCAATGTTAGAGCCATTTACCAAACACATGGACCCTAAAAACACTATTAAGTTTTTGTTTTGAAATAATTTCAAACTTACAAAAATTTGCAAGAATTTTAAATAACTCCCATATACTCTTTCACCCAGATTGATGAATTTTTAGCACTTTGATGCATTTGTTTATCATCTTCTCATGTATGTATGTACGTGTATATGTACACATATGTATGTGTGTATTTAGGTATGTGTATGTGCATGTACCTATTATTAATACATGATATTTTGTCTTGAGCCATCTGAGAATTAGAGATCTCATACCCTTTATTTCTAAATACTTCAGCAAATAGTTCCTAAGAACAAGGATGTTGTCTAACCTAACCACAGTACAGCTATCAAATTCAGGAAAATTAACATCAACAATATTTTTTATTTCAATTTTTGGATCATTACTCTTCCTTTCCCTTAGATTTTCAGTAAAACAAACTTGTTATCCTGTTATAAACACAGTGTTCTGTTGAAACCATAGGAAAAATTTCTCTTGACATAGTCAACTTTTTAAAAAAGGCACAAGTCACTGAATGGCTTTGATGTTCCTTCCATTCACACACAAATGCATGCACATGCCTAAATAAAGAAACAACATAAACTGTGGTAAGTCAGCCTTCTCTGTGAGTCAGAAAGAGACTCTGAGCACTTTTGTGGGAAGTGTTTCCTGAATGCTTTATTTGATAAAGAGTGCTTTATTTGATAAGGTGATAGCCAAGTACCTTCTAAGCCAAAGTCACCGTGGTTTTGCAGGCTCAGGTTTTGGCCGTGATGGGTCAGACAAAAGAAGCTGAAAAGATGACCAATCACATTGTGTCAGAGGAGGCTGGGTGCCTTGAATGCTATCGCCTGTTGTCTGCTATCCACAGCAAGCAGGAGCAGCACGACAAGGTAGAGAGGACACTGTTTGGAGTTGTTTGGGTTCACAGGTAGAAAATGGGGTGCACCTGAATGACCCTCCAGCCTGAACGCTCACAAGGCCGAGCAGTCTTGAACATCGTCAGTTGGCATAGCGTATCTTCTGGGCACTTTTCAGATACCTACTTGATTCCTAAGATGTCCCCTCAAGATGCTATTTTCTTTGTTCATCCTTGGTCTGAAGATTTTATGTGGTATTATCTCAGTTTGTTTTCAGCTAACTCGATAATGATAAACACTAACATTTGTAAGCTTTATCATTTTCCATGTTCCCTCAAAGATATTTTATAGACTCTTTATAACAACCCTTTAAGGCAGGTCAGTGACCCTGTGTTGCAACTGTACTGTTTATCTCCATTTTAAAAGTCACATGACCAGTAAATACATGATCTGATTCAACAAAATATTTATTGAATGCCTGCTATATGCCAGACACTGTGGTGGGCAGTGGGAATAAAGTGGTGTGAGAAAAAAAAAAATTGCCCTTGTCCTTGTGGAGTTTACAGTCGAAGAGGAGACAGACATTGAGCAAGTAATCACAAAACCAGTGTGGAATTATAGCTGTGCCCAGTGATGTCGTGAAGAGCAGCATGGTCCCTAATGAGCATATAATCAGGGGACCCGAGTGGTCTGGGTGGTTAGGTTCCCTGCAGAGTGATGTGAAGTTGAGGGCTGAGTGATGAATAGGAGTTATTAAGCAAAAAGGGGCAGTGAATAGCATTCCAGGCAAGAAAAAGCACATGCAAAGGCCCTGTGTCAACAGTAAATGGCCTGTCTGAGGAATGGGCTTGAGGGAGCAGGGCGCCTGTGAGATGCAGCCACCGAGGTTGCTGGGGACTCAACCCCAAGGCTTGGGACCAGGGCAAGGGTTTTGTTCCTTATCCTGAAAGAAGCTTTGGGGTCTTAAGGAAAAGAGCAACGTATCAGATTTGTGCTTTGAAGGGCTCTCTGGCTTCAAGGGGTAGGCCAGTGGGTGCTGGGGGCAGAGTGAGCACCAGGGCCTTAAAAAGAGGCTGTAGGAGTGGTCCAGATGGTCACATGGCCAGGGCAACACAACTGACCTCAGATCTTGTTTTCTTTCAATGGGATCACACGGCCTTCCTGAAAAGTGATTGGGGACATTTCATTGTCACTAATGTAAATAGGAAACCAGGAGTATAGGGAAATTATTTTGTCAGGGCTACTTTATTCCTTGATGAGAACATCAGAGAAAATGAAAAATGTGTTCTGATTGTCACTCACCACACTAGCTAATACATAGGAAACAAAAAGTATAGATGTTATCGTTTAACTTAGTTTTTCTTTATCTAACCTACATTTATTGTGTCTTAATTTCTAAACTGTACAGGCACTTGATGCTATAGATAAGGCTCTGAAGCTGAAACCAAAGGACCCAAAAGTTGTATCTGAACTTTTTTTCACAAAAGGAAATCAACTAAGAGAGCAGAACCTTCTTGACAAAGCTTTTGAGGTATAAAGACTTAATAAAATTGTTATTAAATTCATGGATTAAAATTAATACTCCCTCAATCTTTAATGAAGCATATACATTAAAAGCTAAGATCATTGCCATGTTTTGTGGAGTGAATTTTCTGATTAATTGACATAATAAGTTTAATTTTTTATAATTGAGCCTCTGGTTTTTGACTATTAGGAGTTCCACAATACCTCTGCATTATTTTCTGAATTATCACTTTGAACCTGATGTTTAAAGCATTCTGCATTTTGCCCTCAAACCAGTGTCCCCCTCTCTCTCTCTCCTCCCCTCGTTCGCTCTTTTTCTCTGTTTGCCTTCAGTAACCCTCTACTTCAGCTGGACTAGTGCCTGAAGAGCTTTGGCATTCCACAAATCCTGTACCATTGTGCCCACACCACCCCAACTCCCTGCAGATTCCCACTCATCTACCAACACAGGCCTGTGTCCTCCTTCAGGAAGCCCTCCAGACCATCCTTTCTCCCAGTGACCTTGTTTCCTCTGAACTCCTAAAACACTACCTCTACCAGTCATTTGAAAGTGTCTTTTTTTTTTTATACAGAAGGTTCTTCTTAGTCATCAATTTTATACACATCAGTGTATACATGTCAATCCCAATCGCCCAATTCATCACACCAGCACTCCCAGCCCCCCGCCGCTTTTCCCACTTGGTGTCCATACGTTTGCTCTGTACATTTGTGTCTCAATTTCTGCCCTGAAAACCGGTTCATCTGTACCATTTTTCTAGGTGTATGCGTTAATATATGATATTTGTTTTTCTCTTTCTGCCTTACTTCACTCTTTATGACAGTCTCTAGATCCATCCACGTCTCAACAAATGACCCAATTTCATTCCTTTTTATGGCTGAGTAATATTCCATTGTATATATGTACCACAGCTTCTTTATCCATTCGAAAGTCGATGGGCATTTAGGTTGTTTCCATGACCTGCCTATTGTAAATGGTGCTGCAATGAACATTGGGGTGCATGTGTCTTTTTGAATTATGGTTTTCTCTGGGTATATGCCCAGTAGTGGGATTGCTGGATCATATGGTAATTCTATTTTTAGTTTTTTAAGGAACCTCCATACTGTTCTCCATAGTGGCTGTATCAATTTACATTCCCACCAACAGTGCAAGAGGGTTCCTTTTTCTCCACACCCTCTCCAGCATTTATTGTTTGTAGATTTTTTGATGATGGCCATTATGACTGGTGTGAGGTGATACCTCATTGTAGTTTTGATTTGCATTTCTCTAATAATTAGTGATGTAGAGCAGCTTTTCATATGCTTCTTGGCCATCTGTATGTCTTCTTTGGAGAAATGTCTATTTAGATCTGCCCATTTTTGGATTGGGTTGTTTGTTTTTTTAATATTGAGCTGCATGAGCTGTTTATATATTTTGGAGATTAATCCTTTGTCCATTCATTTGCTTGCAAATATTTTCTCCCATTCTGAGGGTTGTCTTTTCATCTTGTTTATGGTTTCTTTGCTGTGCCAAAGCTTTGAAGTTTCATTAGGTCCCATTTGTTTATTTTTCTTTTTTATTTCCATTACTCTAGGAGGTGGATCAAAAAAGATCTTGCTGTGATTTATGTCAAAGAGTGTTCTTCCTATGTTTTCCTCTAAGAGTTTTATAGTGTCTGGTCTTTTAGGTATCTAATCCATTTTGAGTTAACTTTGTGTATGGTGTTAGGGAGTGTCCTAATTTCATTCTTTTACATGTAACTGTCCAGTTTTCCCAGCACCACTTATTGAAGACACTGTCTTTTCTCCATTGTATATCCTTGCCTCCTCTGTCATAGATTAGTTGACCATAGGTGTGTGGGTTTACCTCTGGGCTTTCTATCTTGTTCCATTGATGTATGTTTCTGTTTTTGTGCCAGTACCATATTGTCTTCATTACTGTAGCTTTGTAGTATAGTCTGAAGTCACGAAGTCTGATTCCTCCAGCTGTTTTTTTCCCTCAAGTCTGCTTTGGCTATTTGGGGTCTTTTGTGTCTCCATACAAATTTTAAGATTTTTTGTCTAGTTCCATAAAAAATACCATTTGTAATATGATTGGGATTACATTGAATCTGTAGATTGCTTTGGGTACTAGAGTCATTTTCACAATATTGATTCTTCCAATCCAAGAACATGGTATATCTCTCCATCTGTTGGTATCATCTTTAATTTCTTTCATCAGTGTCTTACAGTTTTCTGCATACAGGTCTTTTGTCTCCCTAGGTAGGTTTATTCCTAGGTATTTTATTCTTTTTGTTGCAATGGTAAATGGGAGTGTTTCCTTAATTTCTCTTTCAGATTTTTTCATCATTAGTGTATAGGAATGCAAGAGATTTCTGTGCATTAATTTTGTATCCTGCAACTTTACCAGATTCATTGATGAGCTCTAGTAGTTTTCTGGTGGCATCTTTAGGATTCTCTGTGTATAGTATCATGTCATCTGCAAACAGTGACAGTTTTACTTCTTCTTTTCCAGTTTATATTCCTTTTATTTCTTTTTCTTCTCTGATTGCTGTGGCTAGGACTTCCAAAATTATGTTGAATAATAGTGGTGAGAGTGGACATCTTTGTCTTTTTCCTGATCTTAGAGGAAATGCTTTCAGTTTTTCACCATTGAGAATGATGTTTGCTGTGGATTTGTTGTATATGGCCTTTATTATGTTGAGGTAGGTTCCCTCTATGCCCACTTTCTGGAGAGTTTTTATCATAAATGGGTGTTGAAGTTTGTCAAAAGCTTTTTCTGCATCTATTGAGATGGTCATATGGTTTTTATTCTTCAGTTTGTTAATATGGTGTATCACATTGATTGGTTTGCATATACTGAAGAATCCTTGCATCCCTGGGATAAATTCCACTTGATCATGGTATATGATCCTTTTAATGTGTTGTTGGATTCTGTTTGCTAGTATTTTGTTGAGGATTTTCATATCTATTTTCATCAGTGATATTGGTCTGTAATTTTCTTTTTTTGTAGTATCTTTGTCTGGTATCAGGGTGCTGGTGGCCTCATAGAATGAGTTTGGGAGTTTTCCTTTCTCTGCAATTTTTTGGAAGAGATTGAGAAGAATGGGTGTTAGCTCTTCTCTAAATGTTTGATAGAATTCACCTGTGAAGCCATCTGGTCCTGGACTTTTGTTTGTTGGAAGATTTTTAATCACAGTTTCAATTTCATTACTTGTGATTGGTCTGTTCATATTTCTATTTCTTCCTGGTTCAGTCTTGGAAGGTTATACCTTTCTAAGAATTTTGTCCATTTCTTCCAGATTGTCCATTTTATTGGCATAGAGTTGCTTGTAGCAGTCTCTTAGGATGCTTTGTATTTCTGCAGTGTCTGTTGTAAATTCTCCTTTTTCATTTCTAATTTTATTGATTTGAGTGCTCTCCCTCTTTTTCTTGATGAGTCTGGCTAATGGTTTATCAATTTTGTTTATCTTCTCAAAGAACCAGCTTTTAGTTTTGATCTTTGCTATTGTTTTCTTTGTTTCTATTTCATTTATTTCTCCTCTGATGTTTATGATTTCTTTCCTTCTGCTAACTTTGGGTTTTGTTTGTTCTTCTTTCTCTAGTTCCTTTAAGTGTAAGGTTAGATTGTTTATTTGAGATTTTTCTTGTATCTTGAGGTAGGCTTGTATAGCTATAAACTTCCCTCTTAGAACTGCTTTTGCTGAATCCCATAGGTTTTGGATTGTCGTGTTTTCATTGTCATTTATCGCTAGGTATTTTTTGATTTCCTCTTTGAATTTTTCAGTGATCTCTTGGTGATCTCTTGGTTATTTAGTAGCTTATTATTTAGCCTCCATGTGTTTGTGTTTTTTACATTTTTCTCCCTGTAATTCATTTCTAATCTCATAGCGTTGTGGTCAGAAATTATGCTTGATATGATTTCAATTTTCTTAAATATACTGAGGCTTGATTTGTGACACAAGATGTGATCTATCCTGGAGAATGTTCCATGCACACTTGAGAAGAAAGTGTAATCTGCTGTTTGGGGATGGAATGTCCTATAAATATCAATTAAATCTATTGGGTCTATTATGTCATTTAAAGCTTCTGTTTCCTTTTTTATTTTCATTTTGGATGATCTGTCCATTGGTGTCAGGGAGGTGTTAAAGTCCCCCATTATTATTGTGTTACTGTCGATTTCCTCTTTTAGAGCTGTTAGAAGTTGCCTTATGTACTGAGGTGCTCCTTTGTTGGGTGCATATATATTTATAATTGTTGTATCTTCTTCTTGGATTGATCCCTTGATTATTATGTAGTGTCCCTCCTTGTCTCTTGAAACATTCTTTATTTTAAAGTCTATTTTATCTGATATGAGTATTGCTACTCCAGCTCTCTTTTGATTTCCATTTGCATGGAATATCTTTTTCCATCCCCTCACTTTCAGTCTGTATGTGTCTCTAGGTCTGAAGTGGGTCTCTTGTAGACAGCATATATATGGGTCTTGTTTTTTTAGTTTGTTTGTTTTGTTTTTTTTGCGGTACACGGGTCTCTCACTGCTGTGGCCTCTCCCAACGCGGAGCACAGGCTCTGGACGCACAGGCTCAGCGGCCATGGCTCATGGGCCCAGCCACTCCGCGGCATGTGGGATCCTCCCAGACCGGGGCACAAACCCGCGTCCCCTGCACTGGCAGGCAGACTCTGAACCACTGCACCACCAGGGAAGCCCCATGGGTCTTGTTTTTGTATCCATTCAGCAAGCCTGTGTCTTTTGGTTGGAGCATTTAATCCATTCACGTTTAATGTAATTATCGATAAGTATGTTCCTATTACCATTTTTTTAATTGTTATGGGTGTGTTTTTGTAGGTCCTTTTCTTCTCTTGTGTTTCCCACTTAGAGAAGTTCCTTTAGCATTTGTTATAGAGCTGGTTTGGTGGTGCTGAATTATCTTAGCTTTTGCTTGTCTGTAAAGCTTTTGATTTCGCCGTCGAATCTGAATGAGATCCTTGCCAGGTAGAGTAATCTTGGTTGTAGGTTCCTCCCTTTCATGACTTTAAATATATCGTGGCCCTCCCTTCTGGCTTGTAGAGTTTCTGCTGAGAAGTCAGCTGTTAACCTTATGGGAGTTCCCTTGTTTGTTATGTGTCGTTTTTCCCTTGCTGCTTTCAATAATTTTTCTTTGTCTTTAATTTTTGTCAATTTGATTACTATGTGTCTAGGCATTTTTCTCCTTGGGTTTATCCTGTATGGGACTCTCTGCACTTCCTAGACTTGGGTGGCTCTTTCCTTTCCCATGTTAGGGAAGTTTTCGACTATAATCTCTTCAAATATTTTCTCGGGTCCTTTCTGTCTCTCTTCTCCTTCTGGGACCCCTATAATGCGAGTGTTGTTGCGTTTAATGTTGTCCCAGAGGTCTCTTAGGCTGTCTTCATTTCTTTTCATTCTTTTTTCTTTATTCTGTTCCGCAGCAGTGAATTCCACCAATCTGTCTTCCAGGTCACTTATCCATTCTTCTGCCTCAGTTATTCTGCTATTGATTCCTTCTAGTGTATTTTTTATTTCAGTTATTATATTGTTCATCTCTGTTTGTCCTTTAATTCTTCTAAGTCTTTGTTAAACATTTCTTTTTTTTTTTTTAAATCTGTTTTTTGTTTTTTTTGTTTTTTTTGTTTGTTTGTTGTTTTTTTTTTTTACTTATTTATGGTTGTGTTGGGTCTTCGTTTCTGTGCAAGGGCTTTCTCCAGTTGCGGCAAGTGGGGGCCACTCCTCATCGCGGTGCGCGGGCCTCTCACTATCTCGGCCTCTCTTGTGGAGCACAGGCTCCAGACGCGCAGGCTCAGTAATTATGGCTCACGGGGCTAGTTGCTCCGCGGCATGTGGGATCCTCCCAGACCAGGGCTCGAACCCGTGTCCCCTGCATTGGCAGGTAGACTCTCAACCACCGCGCCACCAGGGAAGCCCCTAAACATTTCTTGCATCTTCCCGATCTCTGCCTCCATTCTCTTTCCGAGGTCCTGGATCATCTTCACTATCATTATTCTGAAATCCTTTTCTGGAAGGTTGCCTTTCTTCACTTCATTTAGTTTTTTTCTGGGGTTTTATCTTGTCCCTTCATCTGGTACATAGCCCTCTGCCTTTTCATCTTGTCTTTCTGTGCATGTGGTTTTTGTTCCACAGGCTGCAGGATTGTAGTTCTTCGTGCTTCAGCTGAGCCTTTAGTTTTATTTAAGGTGACCACTCTTAAAATCATGACTCAGTGGTGAGCATGCCCTTTGATGCAAAACAACAGGCAAAATATTAAAAATATACCTTACGGCTATGACATTTAATGGGATACATGTTATTCAGACCAAAAAAAAGTATTTGAGAAATAAGTAACTCTCTTCAAACATTTGAAGATCTTTTATAAGGCAGAAGAAAAAGAAAGGCTTTCTAAGGATTAAAACTATCCCCTGGTAAAATATATTTCCTTAAAGAGATACTGAACACCAGTCTCTGCAAGAATTTAAGCATGGGCTGAATAATCAGATCAGATTTTATGAGAGATATAAAATGTTTCAGAAACTACTCTAAGATTCTGTGATTATAAAAAAATTTTTCTTACAAACTCCATTTATAGTGAAAAAGGCCAAAGAGCCCCATTTTCTTGCAGATCAAGGCCAGTGGGAAATGATGCACTATAATAGAAATCACCTGGACTCCTGGCAGGCACCTTCAGCCTTTTTAAGTCCAGAGGTTAGCTCTGCAAGGAAATTACACATTTCAGTTTCCTCCACTTTAGAGTCATCAACTTTGAAAAATAATAGAAATAAAGGGGACACCTGTGAACTAAAAGTGACTGTTCATTTTATTAACCATTTAAATTTCCACATATGAAGAAAATGGTTTCCACAATCTGTAGTGTTAAAGATGGGTTCTTGTTTCCCAGCCTGAAGATATTTCTTGTATATTTAGAGCTATAAAGTGGCCGTGGAATTAAATCCAGATCAAGCACAGGCCTGGATGAACATGGGTGGAATCCAGCACATCAAGGTAAGAAAATAATTCACTTCCATGTGAACCAGGTTTTCCCTTTGTATTTTCTCTTTCTTCTCTTTTAAAAGATTGAGAAACTATTGTTAATTTCCTCTTTGAATTATTTGAATACTGAAAACATAGGTGTTCAAGAATGTAATTAGACAGTTTTATGTTCACTTTGTATTATCTCGATATTGAATATCATGAATCCATTTAAAAAATAAATATATAAATTAGATTTCATGATTTTGTTTATCATAAAGAAAATCAGGGCTTCCCTGGTGGCGCAGTGGTTGAGAGTCCACCTGCCGATGCAGGGGACACAGGTTCGTGCCCCAGTCTGGGAAGATCCCACATGCTGCGGAGTGGCTGGGCTCGTGAGCCATGGCCGCTGAGCCTGTGCGTCCAGAGCCTGTGCTCCGCAACGCGAGAGGCCACAACAGTGAGAGACCCACATACCGCAAAAAAAAAAAAAGAAAGAAAATCATATGTACTTAAGTATCATCACAGAGCAGATAAAATCTGCTATATGAAGTAAAATTCTGTTGGTGCTATGCTGATGTAGCTTATTTTCCTGTGGCTTAATTCATTGTAAAGATAAAGTATTACTATTTCCTATACTTAATGTATCTTTTATTCCCTAACCTACTGAAAAACAAGGCTGTTTGTTTGTTCTCAAAAGAAAAAGCTACCTTTGAGTGAATAATTGAAAATTACCCTTGGGAGGACTATTGTCTATAATGAAATCAAAGATTCACTGGCATTCATTCATTCATCCAATTCATTTGACAAGCATTTATAGAGAATATCCTATGTGCCAGGTGCTCTTCTAGGTACCAGCAGTACAGCAATTAACACATAAGACAAAAATTTCTATCGTCATGGAGCTAACATTCTAGTTAGGGAGAAATAGGCAATAAGTAAATAAACACAAACATACATACATAGAATATATCAGATGGTGATAAGTGCTATGGAGAATAAAAGAATGAAAGAAGATAGGGAGTGCTGGGGGTAAGAACTGAAATTTTAAACTGAGGTGGTTAGGGAAGGCCTCAGTTAAAAAGTGATGTCTGAGTAGAGATCTGAAGGGAGCAAGCCACTTGGCAAAATAGGGAAAGTGCATGTGCAAAGGCCCTGAGGTGTGAGTGTGCCAGTGTATTTGAAGACTAGGGAGAAGGCAAGTGAGAGGAAATGATAGAAGCTGGGTCAGAGAGGTCACAGGGCCAGATGATGCAGGGCGTTGAAAGGAATTGCAAAGTCTTCAGCTTTCATGACAAACAAGTTGGGGTCCTTGGAGGACTTTGAGCAGAGAAATGCCATGGTCTGACATGTTTTGAAAGGATCACTCTTGTTTAGCTAACTTATTTTCAGGCTTCTATCAGTCTTTACCCTGACAAAATAGCGAGATAGTGATTAGAATTTTTAAAAAGGCTAAACAGGGTTTACGATTAAGTGGGAACTGGTCACTCTCAGAAACACAGTAAAACAAAAAGGTGATCCATGACTATATAGATGGGAGGGGATAATGGGATAGTTACTCTGAAACTATTAGCCTTGATCTAATAGAGGAACATTGATGGCGAGCCCAGTCATGACATCTATCGGAGCCCAATAAACCAAGCTCTGATCTTAATGACATTCTAGGGTGTCCAGCAGTATCTAGTTGGGAAACATAGAATGAACTTACTTTTAAAAACAGTAACATAATAATTTTAAATATTTAAATAATATATTAAATAGTTGCACTTTCAGATAAAACACTTAATATGTTTTTAGATGGAGTGCACCTGCATTTAAAGAAATGGGTTCAATTGTTAATTAGATAAAGTACAATAAATGCACTCAAGAGTGTTCATTAAGTCTGGAAATAAAGAGAAAATAGTACATTTATTGAACTCTTTCAGATTAACAAGTGAACCCATTGCTTTAAATTTAGAGGTGCTTCCCCTGCAAAGGTATCTGGAGATTGAAGAAGGATCTACTGAGTGTATTATTTCAAAATATAACGAACACACTGATTAAACATTAGTTTATCTTTTTTCATCTTTGCGGCCATCATGTATTAGGTTGAACAATATAAAATTGCCATGTTTGTAATTTTAAAATGTTTAACTTTAAATGTAACTTCATATGATGCAATCCAATACAAATATATAGACCAGGCACATGGCTTGAATGTAGTCATTTTGATTTCACCGTTAGGATGCAGGATTATCATTATGACGCCTTCAAGAACAACCATTAACTTTCTGTGACCTTTGCATTGCCAGGAAGTGCATGCATCAAGCAGTGTTATCCCATTCCTGGGCCCCACTGAGCCTGAGCCTGGGTGAAGCTTAGGAAGGACTGAGGGCTGTGCAAGGCTGAGAGTTGGAATAAGGCTTTGCAAGGAGACGACAAAAAGAGAGAGAAAAAGAGACTTGACTCTTGTTCATACTACTTGGAAATAAAAGATGATATTTTTCATGAAGTTTTATGTAAAATGAAATGGGTGGACCAAAAAAGCTACAATACATTCTTTTTTTTTTTTTTTTTTGCGGTATGCAGGCCTCTCACTGTTGTGGCCTCTCTCGTTGTGGAGCACAGGCTCCAGACGCGCAGGCTCAGCGGCCATGGCTTGCGGTCCCAGCCACTCCGCGGCATATAGGATCTTCCCGGACCAGAGCACGAACTCGTGTCCCCTGCATTGGCAGGCGGACTCTCAACCACTGCGCCACCAGGGAAGCCCCTACAGTACATTCTTTATAATCAAAGAGTTGCATCACCTGGGCCATATCACAAAGTACTATTTTCAATCCTGCCTTATGACATTAATGCATTTTCTAGAATGGAACTGGCCAATAGAACTTTCTGAGATGATGGAAATATTCTATGTCTGTACTGTCCAAGGTAGTAGCCACTAGCCCCACATGGCTAATAAGCACTTGAAATGTGCCACTGAGCAACTGAATTCTTAATTAATCATAATTAACTTACACTTAAATAGCCGCATATGACTAGTGGCTATCATAGTAACTAGCACATTTCTAGAAATTGGATAATTCAAATTCCCTATCTAGCATCTGGAAATTGAGGACATCGAATTAAGGGCTATAACTTGTTTTAAAAATTAAGGCTTCCAGGGCTTCCCTGGTGGCACAGTGTTGAGAATCCGCCTGCCAATGCAGGGGATACGGGTTCGATCCCTGGTCCGGGAGATCCCACATGCTGTGGAGCAACTAAGCCCGTGCACCACAACTACTGAGCCCATGTGCCTAGAGCCTGTGCTCCACAACGAGAGAAGCCACTGCAATGAGAAGCCCGCACACCACAACAAAGAGCAGCCCCCACTGGCCGCAACTAGAGAAAGCCCACGCACAGCAAGGAAGACCCAACACAGCCAAAAATAAACAAATAAAATAAATAAATTTATTTTTTAAAAATTAAGGCTTCCAGGGCTTCCCTGGTGGCACAGTGGTTGAGAGTCCTCCTGCCGATGCAGGGGACACAGGTTCATGCCCTGGTGTGGGAGGATCCCACATGTCGCGGAGAGGCTGGGCCCGTGATCCGTGGCCGCTGAGCCTGCGCATCCGGAGCCTGTGCTCCGCAACGGGAGAGGCCACAGCAGTGAGAGGCCCGCGTATGGCAAAAAAAAAAAAGAAAAAATTAAGGCTTCCAGTTGCATCAAGAAAAGAGCGACTTGAAGGAGGAAATAACTCTATGATAGATCTTTTTGTGAAAGGACAGAGAAAGCTGGTGATCAGAGGAGATGCCTGGCACCAGGCTAAGGCCTAAATTCAGAGAAACCTCTTGGGAAACTGATTTCAAAATCAACTGCAGTAGGAACACAGTTTTGAGAGCAATCTAAGAGCCACAGATGTTCAGTTATCTGCACCTATGTGCTAAGCTTAATAAACATCAGGAGACACTCTGAAGATAAATACTTGAATTGAAAACAATAGTAATGTAGCTAAATCCAGGTTCTCATTTGTTCAGAATTCTGTTCAGCCTCTTATCAGAATCAGTGTTAATAATCAGAAATATTTTCATTTGTGCACATGCCAGCGCCTGGATTCCCAATGTACAGTTATCTGTTCTGTCATTTTTACTCTCCTTTTCACCAGTATGACAAGTGAATACCATAAGAAATAGGCAGTGTTTACTCATTTACACGTAGTCATTTAATAATAACAACAGTGACAGCATCGGATTGAGTGCTCATTATATGTCAGGCAGAGTCTGAGGTCTTGACACTTGTTCATTCACTTGAGAGGTAGTTAAGCATTCAACAAATATAGGTCGCTATTGCTACATAGTACTTTCACTCCAAGAGGTACTACTTTAAATTGTGGTGGAAATTTAGAGAGTAACTAGTTTTCATCCACATGGAGCTGTAACTGAGAATAAAGCATAGCAGATGCTTGTTTTTTTGGAATGGAGAGATCTCTACAGATCTTGGTTCTGACACTTAGCAGCACACAGATCTGAAAGGGGGTCGACCATACGGAAGGAATACATTTAGGGGCAGAAAAGAGGTTGGAAAAAAGTTAGTAATTCTGACTAGTTTGTTAGGCACCTTCTGGGACCAGGCACGCATGGTTGCCAGTTAGGGAAGCATTGAACAAACCAGATGGGGGCCAACAGAGTGGTCTTTAGCAGGTCCAGAGTGACATACCTTCCCCCCCGCCTTTAGAGTATCCAGCAGACATATATTGTCACACACCTTGAGTATGGGATAAATTTGACTCCATATTATTTATTATCAGTTCTTTTTATTTTATAAAAACTTAGATTTGCATTAAAGCCTGTATTAGGCAAAAGTTGCTTTTATGTTTTAAGGTGAAGATTAAAATACTTCCTACCACTAAATAGCTGTAGTGGACTCCTGAACTATTTACTTTTTAATCATTACTCTTGATATTTCAAAACCCTCTCTCTCTCTCTCTCTCTCTCTCTCTCTCTCTCTCTCTCTCTCTCTCTCTTTCACACACAGACAGACACACACACACACCTCTCCCCCAACCCAACCCTCTTTCTGTCCCCTTCCTTCTCAATATGAATTTCCAGTGCATTGGCTCCACTTGATTACAAAGGAACAGTGCTAACCCTATGAGAATGCTATGAAATTATAGCTTCATACCCTGGATTAGTAGAATTGGAAATCTGTTTTGCTGCCATTTAACCTTATCCTTCACATTCTCCATCTGGTCTGGTACTTAAAACAAATGGATTCTCAAAGGCACCAACAGATAAGGATAAAATTACGCATGCAGACAGGGTCTCCTTATGAGGATGTTAATGTTAAAATGGACGAGAAGGTCTGTTTTTTATCTGATGGATCAGAATATAATTATTCTCTTTCTTTTTCTCAACAGGGAAACTACGTGTCTGCAAGAGCTTATTATGAGAGAGCCTTACAGCTGGTTCCAGACAGCAAACTGCTGCAGGAAAATCTTGCCAAATTGGATCGTCTAGAAAAAAGATTACAAGAAGTTCGAGAAAAGGATCAAATGTAGCAGCATTTGACCAAGTCTCCAAGGGGACAGTACTGGTGCCTTTGGAAGAGGAAGAACTGACAGACGGAAGCCTTGCTTACACATCAGTTGGGGCACAACCGATGAAGTTTTCCTCTTACTCGAGTTCAGGGTGGCACATTTTGGGACACTTGCTGGTAACCCTGTGCTGGGGACTTGCATTTCCATGAAAGAAGACAAAAAGAGCAAGCAAGCAAGGGCTAGAAGGCCTGAAGGAAGGAAAACAGCAACTACACATTTGACAGATGTTTGTTTGCTTTAATTCCAGATTTCCTTTCATATATTTGTCTGCTTTTCCAACATGGAAATCTAATTCCATTTCTTAGTGTAGATACTTGTGTCTCCGAAATAGAGGCTTGAAATGTTATGAATGCATGGCATCTCTTCTTTAGGAGGGGAGATATTTCAGAGAGGGTAAATCCTCTGGGATAAACCATTTGAGAAATTCTACCAAGAGGTAGCTCATTTAATTCTCCAGAACTAGAAATGAGTATCTTAACAGTTTTTGTAAAACCTTCTGGAATATATGGGGAAAGGGGCTATTGTAAGATAAAGCTAAGTAAGGTTTGTCTAATATCCTTCTGAGGATAGTGCTAGAGCCCTATTGAGAAGTAAATTAAATTCCACTCTGATACAAGCTGTTTTCCCATTGCCTAATATGTCAAAAAGGAAGCTTCTGGAATTGTGTATGAGTATTCTTATTCCTAGGGAAAAATCAAGAGTCTTGCTACCCCTGACTCTTCATGGAAATGTTTTAAATTAATTTTATTACAAGTATTACTAGAGTAGTGGTTCTGCTCTAAGATTTCATAAGTGCTTTTAAAACTCGTAAATGTTTCTGCCTCCAAATATATTGTTATTTTGGTGGAGAAAAAATAGTATATTCTACATGAGAAATATTAAAGATATTAATTGAGAGAAATGTTCTACTTTATTATCTTAACATTCAGACGTTCTGAGATTATTTTTTGAAAATATATTTAACCACTGAGGAATCTTTATGGTAGATTACAGAAATCTTCATAGACTCTAAATAGATGGACAGCTCTATTGATTTGTCTTCCTAGGCTTAATGAGAATTCTGTGCTTAGAACATGAATGATAGGACCTGCACTTCCTGGTTCTGTATTTGTAATTTTGGAGATTTCATGGAGAATGCTCAAAAAATCTAGGAAAAAAAGTCTAAATTCATAACTTTAAAATATATATTTATAGTTAAAAGATAGGGATGGCAAAGTTGAATTTACAATTTGACATTTGTCTTTTAGTGTTATTTATTTCATAACTTATAAAATATTTAATATATACACGCTTTTTTCCCTGTACATGGTGGTTTTAATAGCAGTTTTCACAACTGATCATACAAAAATTATAAATCTAAATTACAAGGTAGTTAAGTTTTAACAGCCCCTAAAAAAATTTGTCTTGACTATTCACTTGCTAAAGCTAAAGAAATTAGGAATCAGCCTTCAGTGTTTGGGAGGTAATATATTTTGAAATTGAAGAAATTGGAATACTGATTCTCATTTGGTTTTCATCATAAACTTAAAAAAAAAAAAAAAAACCCCACTCTGGTCAGTGCTGTTCCTGGCTAAGCCAGGTGTCATACACACGTAGGAGCCTAAAGGCACGTGTATGTCACACGCTCAGGCCAGAGCAAGAAGCTTTCTTCTTTTCAACCCCAGTATCAGAGACCACTGCCTCTCTATGTTGTTGTTATTATTTTTTTGTCAAGGTAAATCCAGATAAAAGGAGGAAAAACTTCTTTGGAAAGGGATGATGCCAGGAGTATTTTAAATGCAAAGGATTACAGAATTTGAATTAGCAAATTCTGTTCGTGTGTATTCTGTTTGTGTATATCAATAATCCAATAATGTATATATTACCACTCTGATCTTCTGTTTCTAATAGTCTTTTAATGTTATATATCATAAATGTATCCAAAATTTCATTTAAAATATTTTTATTCCCTCCAAAATTATACTTCTGTAGTCCTAAGGTCAAGAAAGGTACTAGAGTATTTATTGTAAAATCCCCAAAATGAAAAACATGAAGCCCTAGCTAAAAACATCTAGGACTTTAATTACAACTTTTTAGTTTTAGTGTAACAAAAACTCATACTTAGAAAGTTAATGGAAAAGATAGAGCCCCAAATTTTGAAAAGCAATTACGCCTTACTTGAAGGGCTGCTAAAGGTAGGCGAGTACATTTGTTGGAATAATTGAAATGGCTATTACAGCCTAAAAGTTTCTGAGAGAAAATGGTCACTGGCCTTCAGGAGACTTTCCCTGCCTTCTTTTGGGTGCTTTTCTCTCTTCCTCTGTTCTCTGTCTCTCTCTTTCTCTCTCTCCCCCTCTCTCTCCTGCCCTCTCTCCCTCACCCCTTCTCTCTCTCTCCCTCCCTCTCTCGGTCTTTCTCACTCTGTCACTCTGTCTCATTCTTTCTGCACACACTGGCATCTCTTTGAACATTAAAAGTAAGCCTGTTTGTTGGACCAGATATTTCTGTCCTGAGTTAATACTTTCACTTAGATGTGGCCAGTGAAATACTTTTCATAGTTGTGTGGTGCCTATAAGAAAATAAATCACATATTATTTTTCAGAGATATTAAGTGTATTTTATAACTATTTTTATTTGTTCTTGTAACATGAAATAATATGTGGAATTCATCCTTATCAAAACGAAAATGGAGTGCCCTGGCTACTCATGGAGATGCATCCAGGTTCCCTTAACAAAAGCATGCTTGGCTGTGAGTTGATAGCCCCTTTCTGAGATGGAAGTGCAAAGCCAGCTTCGTGGACGTGCAGTCTCTGTAGACTCTCAGAGTCCTGCACTCAGAAGCACCTTGTGTTTGGTTGAATTCTCTGCTTGAAGTTCTCAGTAATTTTTGAATAATTCCATTTTGCACTGGTCCTGGGTAAGAGGGAAGGTGGCTGAGGACAAGACAGGAGTTGCTTCAGTCTAGCTGAACACTTGATCTAATGAGCAGAGTTTCATTTGTGACTGTTACCCTGTGCAGCATTGGCTATTTTGTCTCAGCTACACTTAGAGTTCCTTGTGTACATATATTCCCCTCCTACTGCCAGTCTATCTAACCTGTCCTTCTGTCTGACCAGAACCAGTTCTCCTTGCCTTCAAATTCTCCAGTAAGTGGCAGTCCTTTCACATGTCCTTCGACATGGAGCCACGAGAATGGCTTTACAAGTTTATGTTAACCTTAAGAATTATTCAGGATTTTAAAACTGATTCAGATGTTTTCAACCTGTTAACGGCATTCGTAAAACATGGTTCAGTGATGTAACGTAAGTGAACTAAACCAAAGATTTAAATACCTTGGAGGAAAATAAATTTTATTTTAGGGAATCCTGAGATATATCTTTTAGGCCTGTTTATTTTGCAGCCCATCAAAAAACAAAGAGGATTATCAGCGCTTTGATTCCAGCTCCCCACAGTATTTCACAATCCCCAGTGTACGAGTCTGACGTGCCTAACACGTGGTACCTCGGTTTGGTGCAGGGTTTTGCACAGCAGGACTGAGAAAATCCAAACTTTTCCATACAGGGTTTTGTATCGCCTCTATTAAACATTCCAGGCCTCCCGGATTGAAGAGCCAGGTTCAGCTGATAGCTGAGATCTCGCCCCTCACACACAGGTGCTTTGGCCCTGGTGGATTTGAGGATAACCTGCGTGCACACCTTTAGGAATCCCTGGACCCTGGCCACCCAGGTTATGACTCTAATGTGCAGTGAGGCATTTGACCTTTATATTTACAGAATTCTTGGTTCTCAGATGGAGAGGGATTGCCTTGCCATTTGCACGTACCAGACAAGGCGCCCAGTATATAAAACTCATATTGTTTATGACTCATAGAAGGGCCCATGACATAGAGCAGTGTTCTCTATGCCTCCCTCTTTCTTTAGGTTACACACGTCAGCTTTTGTTAATTATTTCTTAATTGTACTCATTAGAATCAGTTTTAAAAAAAAACAAACAAAAAAACTTTTTCTCTGATTTGTGATGGATTTGCACCTTAGATCAATAAATCCATAGGGTATTAGTAATAATACTCAAAGCAAATGTAGTTATAGGTGTTCTGTTTATTTTAATTTTTTTCCTGGTTTCTGAATCATATTTACTTTGATTAAATTGTATGTTGGTATCTCCCAATAATAGCAAAACTTAACTATCTAAATGGCATCTTTTGGCATTTTAAAAGTAAATACCTGTCAAATCTTGTATTTAGGCTGTAATTGAATAGGATGAAAATTTACAATGCCAAAAATTATGGAGAAGTATAACTGTTTATGATTATTCTTGAAGTTTTCAATGTGAAAAATATGTTGAACAGTTCTTCCAAAAATAGCACTTCCTTATTTTTGTTTTTTAGTAGTCATATAACTTAAGGAGAAGAAATAAAATAACTTCAATCAAAGCTATGGTTTACTGTCAGTAAAATAAAATGTCACAACAGAATCAATATCTATCAATTGGCTCATATAAAAATGTTCCATTTTTATCACCAATGATCCTTTCCATTAAAACCTTTAGGGCATATAACTTGTAAAATTAGCACCCATCACAATATGCAGTCATTATTAGTTTGTAAGTTTAGATAAGCATTTACCACAAACTGAAAAGAGGTGTCTATGTCCAGAAATCCAGGAGTTTTTTCCCATTCTCAGTGGGGTACGTGGTGCATATTTGTATCACTTTAGACTTTTCCAATGTGCATAATGTCCTTCTGGGGTTGTCTTGCTGGTCCATAGGAGGGGAGACCCCGTCCAAGAACCAGGAGATCTGGATTCTAGGCCTGCTCTGCCACCGAGGTGCCACCTCACCTGGGACAAGTTACCAAGTGTCTCAGTCATGTTTATTGCCCGTTAAAGGAGTGGTTACTCCTATGGACCTATCAAGCTCTGTGAGTCCCCTGAATCCAAATGCAAAGCCCTCTGCCTCTGAAGAGATAACTGATAAGTGTTGCCCTTTGTTTTAGAAAATCTCAATCATTGCAGCAAAACACATACACAAACAACCCTAAAAGTGACTGAACTGCCCAAGTGCTTTAACATGGCAGCAGTAACTACTCTTATTTTGCAGTCTGTACACAAAAAAATTAGGGATTTTTTTATGTTTCTAAGGAAAAGAGATTTTTAAAAATTTCCTCCAAAGGAACTAAAATATCTGTAGAAGCCATGGCTTGCTTTTACAATGTGGAAATTATTTGACTTGCTGTGACTCACCCATCCCTCCTTTTGTCAGAGGAAAATACTTACATCATGTTCTTGATCAGTTGTATATAAATGTACATTTTTGTTACTTTTGCTGTGCCAGTTGGAAATATATCTCCCATAAAGTATTTCTCCCATTTAAGTCCGATTATGTACACTTTGCCTAGATCTTTCCAAAATAAAATTTATGTAAATGTCTATTTTATATAAAATATGATGAAAATAATTATGTCTTGTTTCAGTCTCTCAAGTGCTCCGTGATTAGTACCCACTAAAATCCATGTCACCAGCAGGTGCCTCTGCTTTACAAATAAAAGGGTATCCTTCTTCCTTTCCCCATTCATTCATTCATTCATTCATTGCATTGTTCTGTGTGCTTTATGTCTTCTCTCTTTTTCATATCCCACAACCACTGTTTCAGTGCTTACCCATTCCAGATCTGCTCCCCTCATCTTACTGAGATGCCTTCACCTCTTTCTTTATGGAGTAAATACAAGGTAGAAAACCCTCAATATCCTGCACTCAGTCATCTACAAACTTAACCTGCACCCAATTCTCCCCTCTCTCCTGTTGCTACAATGAAAGAAGAGGGCCCTCGGCCCTGGATAATCACATCTTGTAGAAATTCATTCCGTTCTTTAATCTCTTTCTTCTTCTTCCTTAACTTCTGCCTTTTTCTGGCTCTTATCAATTCTGTTCTATTTTAAAAACACAGGTACAGGTAGCCACCATCAAGATCACTTGAAAACAATCCTTCCTTTATTCCTTTTCACCTCTGGCTGCTACTGCATCTCTTTATGTCCTTCACAGTCAGACTATTTTGAATAAATTGTCTTCACTCATTCTTTCTACTTGCATCCTTCACATTCTCTCTGCAACCTAGTGAAATCTGTCTCTGCAACAAATATTCAAATCAAGTTGCTGTTTCTAACGTCACGAATAATCACTTTAGTGCTGATTCCTAGGTCTTGTGGGACTTGGGAGAGCGTTCGAGAGTTTAGACCAGTGGTTTAGCGGGAATGGAAAAACGTATTTTAAACAAAATATTATTTACCCCATGACTTGCTCATTGTTCATGGGTTAGTCTCCTAACACTCCTAAGTTTACAACTGTGCTTAGAGCTGGGGGCTCCATCAAGAGTCTTGGAAGGCCTCCAATAGCAGATCATTATTTTGCTGCCCTAATGAAGATATATGTTCAAATTCAAGGCATCTTTCCCAATCCAGTTTGGGAAAGTCCAGCCCACTCTGCTTGACATCCTTTCCTTTTCTGAACTTTTCTGGTTTGTTTTGTTTTGTTTTTAAATAAGAGAACCCTTCCATTTGGACCCTTCAAGGTCACCACAAACCCAACATATTTAAACCATCATCTTACTAGCAAATTTAAATCTAAAACTAATGACCTGGCTTTTGCTGTGTATGCAATTCGTATTGAATGGCTCTTTTTCTACTTAATGGAAAGGCATTATTTTGTCAAGCCAGAAAGGGATCAATCTCCTGTATAGAAGGACAAGGTCTCACTTGAGGCTGTGAGTTTGAACTCTGGAAACAAAGGGAGCTGTGATGTAACAGGAAATGAGACAGTGCCCGACCCCATGAAGACTCCCAGGTGTGAAACACACCACTGAAGATCCTGCAAAGCTGTGTGTGTACCATGTGCACAAGACTGCAAGGGGACAGGGTCTGTAAGCTTCATGAGGTTAGCCATGAACTTGAACATCGTGGGTCCAACGTGCACAGCACATGTTCATTTTGTCTTTCCTTCTATTTTATTTTGTAACAGCTTTGTAGTGACTTTGACCCTCTCTTGCTAAGAAGAAAGAGAAGAGTTTGGGTCCCTTTGGAGGGTCTGAGCTTTTATTGGAGAGTAGTGTGCCCCTGGGGCCACAGATGGTTATGGTAATAATCGTGAGGTCACTGCAGTGAAAGCGAAACTCGGAGATGAGAGTGGTGAGGGCCATGGGCCAGACAGCCACCACCTGGAGAGTTCTTTTACAGCACTCAGGTGTAGCAGTGTATTTTCAGAAAAGAGCAGCTTACCTTACCAAGTCCCCTCCTGGTGTCCCCTAGACACCCAAGCTTGAAACCCAGGAGTCATCTACTCAGTCAAACTGCCATCCAAGTTGTGACTATTTTAAATAAATACTTAAAATGGTGCCACTCTCAAGAACAATTCAGTCCAACAGAACTATCTGTTGATGATGGCAGTGTTCCATATCTGTGCTGTCCAACATGGTAGCCACTAGGCACAGGTGGCTATTGAGCACTGGAAATGTAGCTAGTGCGACTGAGGAACAAAAATTTTATTTTAGTTAATATTAATTTTAATAACCATACATGGCTAATGCCCACTCTATTGGACAGTGCAACTTAAGAGCTTTTCAGTGTTGTAAGACTTGGGACATAAAAATCACTGAAACCCATTTTAGCTTCATAAGACAAGAAGGCTTGAGATGGTGTGTTTCAAGTTTGGGTGCCAATCACATTCTTGAAGCTTTTTGCCAGAAGCTTCCCAATTCACCTTCTGCTCCCTTCTGCCCCTCTCTGACTGTCACCTGCCTGTCCCTGGACCTGCATTCCCTCCACCTCGACTGTCTCTGTTTTCCTGTCCTTCTGTCTACCACCTGCCGGTCTCCCTAATTTGTTTACCCTCCTACCTTAAGGAGCTTTTATTTCTATTTTATACAAAAGTGAAATAACTGGGGCTGGGGGACTGGTGTCTAGGTTAGTTAATATATATAAAATGTTCACTTAGCCTTGCCCTCATTTTTTGATAAATTATAAATCAATTAAAAAGTCTGGCTTTATTCCTCTCCCAATCTCAAGCTAACTCGTTACAAATCACTTATTAGAAAATAATTATTGAAAAAATGCTGACATGATAATCCTGCTAGTGGATTCATTTTAATACTCTTAAATGCTGGACCCTACAGTTTTGGTCCATTCCACTGAAGCTGATGATAACACTGCCACTCAGAAAAGGAACGGGGTAGAAACCTGATCTTTCACATCCACTCCCTTTGAAAACTTGGGAGTGTCACAGTCTTCAACAAGCTTCTTAGAAGCAGGGTGGTACCTTTACACACTCAAGTTTTCACGAGTCCTCCTTTCAGAGGTCAGCCTGCCTGTGTCTTGCATGGGTGCCCAGCTTCCTTGACCCTGGCCTTGGGCCACACTCCCTGGTTGGGAACAGAATTCACCTGCGCTGAGCGTTCTAGGCCACTGATGCCCTTGCTCCCGCATCTGGCCCAGGCTCACCCTCGAGGTCACCTCGCTCCTGTCTCCAGGGGCGGTGGGCGGGGGCGCTACGACACCTGGGCGGCCCGAGAGCGGCCAAGGCTTGACTGGTCCTAAGGAGGGAAAGCTGAGCATCCGGCTGCGCGGCAGGTGCGGCCCCTTGGCGCCGCGGGAGGGAGTGAAGAGCGCGTGCGCTTCCGGGAGCGCGAGCCCTGCGGCCGGAGCGCCTCTCCTCGCCGGGTTTGCACCGCCGGCGTCTGAGGAAGACAGACGGGTCCCCGCGCGCGGGCGCCATGCGGACGCCGCCTGGGGCTGCTTCGCTGCTGCTCTTGGTCCTCGTGGTCCGCCCCTGGCGGAGCAGAGGTGAGCCCGGCTCTGGGCGCCGCCGAGGCTGCGAGCGTCTGAGCGCCGGCAAGGGGACTTCATTCCTCCCCAGGGCAGAAAGGAGAACAGCCAGGTGTGCCCAAGAAGGGCCTGGGCCGGATTTTCTTCTGCAATCCTTTGGATTCTGGAGTTCAGGTTTTTAGGCACATCTGCTAATCATGCTTGTGCTAAGGATTCTCCTCCAAGGAAAGATAACCCAGTAGAAGTAACTTAAAACCTAATAGCTCTGTTCCGGAGCAGCATATGTTTTCCAGCGTCTTTCATTCCACCTAAATTATGTGATGCTCACCCTCCCAGAGAAAGCCCCGAATCCATCACCAGAGGGAGAGGCGCTCATGCAGTGCCCAGGTCTTTTTTATTAAGGTAGCTCAGGCTGTAAAGGGCAGAGGGAGTCGCGAGGCAAGTTCTAGTCAACTAGTGGTATAGTGTCAGGGGTATCTTGAGAAAAGAAAGGGGATAGCCTGCAGCTGAGTGACACCAGAACATCTGAGCCAGGCCAGGAAAATCCGAACGTGGAAATCAGGATAAAGTGAACGCTTACATAAGGTGCCGTGTGTGTGTGTGTGTGATCACATATATGCTTTCCCACACAGGACTGAAGTGCGGAATTCGTGCAGTTGATTTGAAAAGTACGGAAACTATCTTGGAATCGGAGTTCTTTTCTAGAATTAGTAGCTGGGGAAATTCAACAGTTGGTGGACACCCGTGGCAGGTGGGTATAAGAAAGACATTGATTTCTTAATGAGAAAACGGTGAATTATTTCCTTTGTTTCAAATACCACAACTCTAGGTTAACATGTAATTTTTCTCTGGACCCCACTTGACCTCACTGTCAAAGAATTTACTTCATAGGAAATCTTTTCCTAACCAATTTATATCAGTGTCTTAATGTGACATCATATTAGAAGAGTTGATTTCAAATGTTTCTGAAGGAGATGACATCTGTGTGGAGATGTATATTAGTTGTGTTCATAACTTTTTTCTTGGGCAGGTCTCCCTGAAATTAGGTAGGCACCACTTCTGTGGAGGAAGCTTGATTCAAGATGATCTGGTGGTTACAGCAGCAAACTGCCTGGCTAGCCTCGATGAGTAAGTTGTGGATTTCCATTACTTATCAAACCTTGATCCATGGCAATAGGATTGGGAGATTCGACGCCCTAAATACCATACAAGGTTCAACCTTAGTCCCTTTCTTAATTTTTCCCTCTGGTCCACCTACCCACTGACCTTCCTGATTCCCAGAAACTTGTGTATATCCCAAGATTTCTTGTGCTTCCTACTCTACTAATCAGAGACCCCAAAGATCGCAGACATCATCTATGATCTGTGGAGGTAGTGGTAGGGTAGGGGTGATGGTTACTTATTTTAATAAAGTATTAACAACAAATGTTGAGCGGATGCACTAATGTTCTAATAATCTGAGTTTCAGTAATTAGGAGGGGAAAATACTGTGGAAATAACAGATACTTGACTAGATTAAAAGGGTACTAGTAAAAAGAAAAGAAGGACAGTTCTAGGAACAACCTTTCTATCTTGCTTAAAATGGTAGAGCATATATAGACTGGTTTATGTACAAAAGAAGACACAAATATTTTATGCAGAAAGACAATTGACGCTAGGGCAAAGGGCTCACAGAATGTAAACACTCTGTGATTGAAAACCATGACTTTTTATAGATACCTATAATTTACAGGGAATTATAACAATTGATAATAATCACTAATAAAGATACATCTTCTTTTAAGACTTAGAAATGCTTAAAGGTACATTAATCACTTTCATTTAATTACATGAAACCAAGACTGTCTCTCCTGGGAGGAGACAGCTAGACTTATTGAAAGATTTTTGTTTGGTTTTAGGAAGCAAATTAAGCATCTGACTGTGACTGCTGGGGAGTATAACCTCTTTCAGAAGGATAAGGAGGAACAGAAAATTCCTGTCTCAGAAATTATTATCCATCCTAAATACAACAGACTTGGATATATGAGTTTTGATATTGCACTGCTATATCTAAAACACAAAGCCAACTTTGGTAAGTAGGGAGAGTTGGAGTACAAAAAAATATAATGGAGGGCTTCCCTGCTGGTGCAGTGGTTGGGAGTCCTCCTGCCGATGCAGGGGACATGGGTTCGTGCCCCGGTCCGGGAAGATCCCACATGCCGCAGAGCGGCTGGGCCCATGAGCCATGGCCGCTGAGCCTGTGCGTCCAGAGCCTGTGCTCCGCAACGGGAGAGACCACAGCAGTGAGAGGCCCGTGTACCGCAAAAAAAAATAATAATAATAATAATGGAGAAAATTTTGTTTATTAATTCTCTGCCAGTTAACTTCAATTCCTGTGTATATATCTAGAAATATTTGAATAGCTAAGTTTTGTTCCTTAAAAAATAATTTTGTTTAATCTATAATGTATAAGAAACACTGTACCAGCCACGAATTACGTATGCTTAACTTAATCAACATTTTAAGTACTCCAGTGTCTTGGCTGGGCAATATTCTAGGCCATCTACCTGTACTCAGCTCTAGCCAAGGAGTGTGGGACATTTGAAAATGTCCTCAGAGACTTCTTTCTGTCACTGTTATGTACTAGATATCTGACACTCTGTCAGCACAAATAATCTAAACATTCTGGTTAAAATATTAAAAATCTACTTTTTTAAAATACAAGAAAGGGAAGTGTTCAGTGGCCAAAAACTATGAAAGAGAACAGATCCAGAGAAGTTAGCCAGGCACTGAAGTAAGTGACTGCCCTTGAGGCATCTTAAGAACCTAGAGCCTTAACTGGCCATGCAAGGAGCCTGCATGGGAGTAGGATGGGGGATGGGAAAGTCTAATTGGAGCTTCCCGTGGTTGTAACCTGGGACTTCCTGAAAGCTGATGCTTTGAAAGAAAGGGGAAAAAGGAACATATACCACATAAAGTGAAGGAATAAGGAAATTTACATACTTGAACCTTGGCCCTGAATGGAGCGCTCTCAGAAGAATCTGTATGTAGCCTGAGCCAGGCTTCATTCAGGTTTGATGCTGGCATTCACATTACCTGTCACCCAAAACTCCAAGCCAAGACTTTAAAGTTGTTCCAGGTGAGTAATTGGGTTTCTGGCAGAAGCAAAGGTAGTAAATTCTCTTTGAAGAGATGAACTTGAATCTCAGCTTGAATGTATTCCCATAAAGTTTTAATGAATGAGAGCACACAATTAAAAGCATACAGAGAAAGTTGCCACCAAAATAACAGCAATCAGGATCAGGCCTCCCAAGATTGCAGGCATAATATATAAAGTATGTTTTAATAATATATATATTTATTATATTTATTAATAATATATATTTAATAATATATAAAGTATGTTTATAATAATATAAAGTATGTTTTACTTAAGTTTAAGTTAAAGTCTATCAAAAATGACTGAAGAACAAGAAACTATTAACTGAAGAGGAAGACTTGGAAAAGAGTCAATAAAAAAGATATGAAAATATAATTGGAATTAGTAACACAATAGTTGGATTAGACAGCAGATTAGATCAAATATAGAGAAGTAGAAGATCAGAAATAATTATCCAAAGAGACAAAAAAGTGGGACAGAGTAGACTGGAAGAGTATGGTAAACAATCAGTTTGAGCTTTAGAAGGCATACAGATAATGGGAGAGAGAGGCTATAATTTACGAGAAAGTGAGTGAGGGTTAGTCATAGCTGATGAGACACTAACCTTCAGAGTTAAGAAGCCCAGTAATTTCAAACCATAATATTAAAAATAATTTTATGGGCTTCTCTGGTGGCGCAGTGGTTGAGAGTCCACCTGCCGATGCAGGGGACGCGGGTTCGTGCCCCGGTCCAGGAAGATCCCACAAGCCACAGAGCGGCTGGGCCCGTGAGCCATGGCCGCTGAGCCTGCGCGTCCGGAGCCTGTGCTCCGCAACGGGAGAGGCCACAGCAGTGAGAGGCCTGCGTACCGCAAATAATAATAATAATAATAATTTTATATCTAGATATGTTGTGCTGAAATTATAGCATCCTAAAACCCCAGCGTGGATCCCAAAAAATCTAGAGAATACTATATTCCAACAGAGAAGTGACCATTAGATTTACAGCTAATTTTTTTTTTTGAGATGTCTATTAGGCATCCAAGCTAGCCACACTTTCACCCCCACCACTCTACCAAATTTGCCCATGTCACAGTCACCATGTCCATGTTGCTAAATTCACAGATAAATTCTCCATCCGTAGCTTACTTAATAGGAGTTTTGACAGAGTTGCTCATACTCTCCTGGAAACACTTTCCTCACTTGAGTTTTAGGGGTCCCTTGGTTTTCCTTCTACTTCTTACACCTTCTCTTAGTCTTCTCTGATGACTCCTCCTCTTCTTTGTGGCTTATTGTTGAGGTGCCCCAGGTATCAGCCCTTGGACCGCTTCTTCTTTTTCTGTGCTCAGTCCCTTAATGATCTCATCCAGGATCAAGGCTTTAAAACCAATTACTTGAAGATAACTCTAGATGTTATATATCCAGCCCAGGTTTCTGTGTATTATATGCGGTACTGGGATTAATAGGGCTCTTATAGCCAACTGCCTAATGATCTACCTGGATAGCTAATAGACTTCTCAAACTTAATATGTTTAAAATAAAATCCTGATTATCCCCTACATCTAAATCTGCTCTATCCATAGCCTTCCATTTGGATTAATGACAACTCTATCTTCCAGTTGTTTAAGCTAAAAACTTTGCACTCATTCTTCATTCTTCTTTCTCTCACACTATCCATCTACTCCATCAGAAGAATTCTATCGCTTTTGCCTCACCCTCTGCACTCCTAACATCCTGTTCCACGCTACCATCATTTCTTGCCTGGGTTAATCTGAATGGTCTCTTGAATCATCTCCAGCTTCCTCTTTTGCATCCCTAATGTTGATTATTAACCCAGCAGCCAGAATAATCCTTTTTGAAATCTAAGTCAGATTATATTACTCTTTTGAAAACACTTCAGTGGTTCTCCGTTACACTCAGAAATCAGTGTTCTTATCAGCTGACATCACCCTCATCCTAGCCCTGTATCTAACCTCTTTTTTGTTTATTTTTTTTACTAAACTTTCTTTTGTTTAATCTGCTCCAGCCATCCTGACCTCCCCACTCTTCCTCAGACGTATGTGGCATGACTCCCCTGCAGGGATTTTCCATTTTGCTTTTTTCTTCTTCAAATGCTTTCCACCCAGATGACTGCCTGATTCCTTCCCTCAGCTTCTGCTCAGTGAGGCTTGACATGACTACCATTTTTAAAATCGCATCTCCCATGCTATCTTTCCTAATCCCCAGACTTCTCATCTTTCTTACCCTGTTCTGATTTTTCTGGAAAAATCTGAGCACATATTACCTAACAACTAAATTATTAGATTTACTGTTTGTACTCCCCCCACCCCAAACACACACATACACACACACACACACACATTCACTCACTCACTCACACTTGTATCTAAGTTCTGCCAGGGAAGGATTTTTTTTTTCTGCTCATTCATTGAGGCCCAGAAGAGTGCTTGCCACATAATAGTGCTCAATTACTCTTGAGTGAAAAACTATCCCTTAAGAACAAGGGCACAAACTAAAATGTTTCTAGTTTGGGGAGGGTCATTGTGGTATGTGTAATGTGTTTTTCCTTAGTCTACTTGCATTTTTCTAAATTTCTATAAATATGAAATAGTTCTTTTGAGAGAGAAAAACTTTTAAAACGTATGTCATTATTATATTTGGGAAGAAAGTGTAGAAACCATGAAATCAACCAGATGTCAGTTTCCAGGTTGATTTAGTCATTACTTGTCTGTGACTCTTATGATTTTTTGTTACTGTTTTTTTTCAGGAACTACTGTTCAGCCGATCTCTATTCCCCATAGAGGTGATAAATTTGAAGAAGGGATTTTTTGCATGGGCAGTGAATGGGGCAAGATCTCAGAGAGTAAGAGGCATCAAAAGGATGTAATGTTTCTTCCAGGCCCCTTTACATGCCCAGTGGAAGCAGGAATTTTGTTGGTCTTGAATAATACATTTGTCCTGGGTTTTTTCCCCCCTTGAGTTCTGGCCCAATGAAGACTTCTGGTTGTCTTCACCATAAAAAGTCTATACTTAAGGCTCTATAAAATTCCTCCTACTGCCATTTTGGTTAGGTGTGTCATATGAAAGAATCAGAGGTGACTATAATAGATGAAGAATAATACAGTAAAGTAACAATAGTTAAGCTTCCTTACCTTTAATATTGTGATTTTTTTTTAAAAATGAAGAATTTTACAGAATATTGCCTTATTAACTAAAGTTTTCCTCTTGTGAAAACATTTAAGCATATATTCAGAGAAGCCACAATTGCCTATGTTACCTTAAAAATCTAAATTTAAAAAAAATGTCCTTTATCACATAGTATAAGATTTTAGGAAATAATATCATTCACAGTTTAAAAAAAGCTTTCTACATTTTGGTTAAACATCTACAAGTTTTTTTTGTTTGTTTGTTTGTTTTTTTGCGGTACGCGGGCCTCTCACTGTTGTGGCCTCTCCCGTTGCGGAGCACATGCTCCGGACGCGCAAGCCCAGCGGCCATGGCTCACGGGCCCAGCCGCTCCACGGCATGTGGGATCCTCTCGGACTGGGGCACGAACCCGTGTCGCCTGCATCGGCAGGCGGACTCTCAGCCACTGCACCACCAGAGATGCCTCATCTACAAGTTTTAAACTTGTAAGCTTCTTATTGGTTTCTTTCAGTGAGGACAATTGTTGACTAACATACCAGTCCCTTCTCCACAGCAGCAGAATATTCAAATGTCCTACAGGAAGTGGAACTTCCCATCATGGATGACAGAACATGTAAAACTATGCTCAAGGGTATGAACCTTCCTCCCCTGGGAAGGACCATGTTGTGTGCCGGTTTTCCTGATGGGGAAAAGGATGCCTGCCAGGTAAAAAGCATAAGCCAGTCCAGTTATTCACCCACTATCACATGGGTGATAGTGGATTCTGTCTTTTTTTCTCCTGAGCTGTTTTTGGGGGGTTACTTCTTCAAGATTCCCTTTTCCCTCATCTTTCCATCTGGCTTCTACTGAAAAAGGTTCCTTGACCAGGGCTGAGAGAATTCTTTTCTGTCCCATGTCCATTCTTACCCCTGTACCTCTTTTGGGGGAGTGAAGAGGAGAGGCAGGGAAGGTGGTTTCAACATTTCCAACCTAATGGAATCAAACAATATGACCACTTTGGCTAACTAATTAGGTCAGCTCTGAATTATTTTTCGTTCCACCTTTTGTTAAACATTGTAACTTTCCTTCAAGCTTTAGTGAAGAATGCAGTGTTTGCACAAAGTTTGACCAAGGATAGCATAGCTATAGTAACTATGGGGTAAAAGATGTTGTGAATGACAGTGACCTCCCAAGGCCAACATAACAGCTTCACAAAGAAGACCAATCCTGACAACATAAGAAAGGAAAGGGAGGCCAATTTGTGAAAGACATGCGTTTTAAGTTTTAGATGAAGAAGATAATTTACTTGGAAAGTGTTTTTGTTGTTGTTGTTGTTGTTTTGTTTTGCGGTGCGTGGGCCTCTCACTGTTGTGGCCTCTCCCGTTGCGGAGCCCCGGCTCCGTACGCGCAGGCTCAGCGGCCATGGCTCACGGGTCCAGCCGCTCCGTGGCATGTGGGATCTTCACGGACCGGGGCATGAACCCGCGTCCCCTGCATCGGCAGGCGGACTCTCAACCACTGCGCCACCAGGGAAGCCCGAAAGTGGTTTGTTTTTGTTTTCTGTTTGTTTGTTTGTTTTAACTGTAGGAGCAGGGATTCTTTATTCTGTGCCAGCAAAAGCAGCTTGAAACTGCCATGTGAAGGTCCCTAAAATTTTCTGTTGGAAAAATGTTTAATTTTTCTTCTAGGGGGCAACAGAATAAGGACCAGGAAGAGTTTGGGATGAAGGAGATAGAAATTTACGGTTATTCCACTTTCTAAATTGGAACATAGGTAGACTTAACTTGCTTTGTCCTGTCTCATCCTTTATAAGCAATCATTTTTTGGATAAAGCTCTCCAACAGCTCTGTGCCTTCTGAGGGGGTTTAATCTGACACAAAATTGACATGTTTTCAAAGCAACATACCATTATGAAGAATTATTAAAGAAAGGATTCTGAAGTTGTGGGTCCTTTATGTTCTAGTCTAAGAGCCAATGGATCCTTTATATATAGCCCCTGGGACAAAATTAGGTTCCCAGGCATTCTGTTTTTAAAGGCTTGAGCTATTTTAAAGGCTTGAGCTATTGCATGACCTTATTCACTGGTGCTGTGGGCTTGGGATGTGACACAGTCTTTCTGAGCAATTCCAGATGACAGGCTATAGTGGAAGCATATATCTGTGAACTCCCCCTCCTCCTTCTATTTATTTTGAAATATATATGATTGTTCCCAAAAGACTGAGAGGAAGCGAGGAATTAAGTGTTAGAGTGACAAGATTGCATGAAGAGGGTGGAAGGAGGTTACATCTAAGCAAAAAGACAGTCCTTTGAAACTAATGATGAAGAAACAAAATGATAGACAAAAAATGGTGATGAATAATGACCTTTGGGCTTATATGCCTCTACTTCTTCTCTCTCTGAGATGTGTGCTGATATTTTTGGACCTGATAAAATATTTTTAACTTGTGACTATTTTAAAATGTCCTCTTTCTCTATTACAAAAGGGGGACTCTGGAGGTCCACTTGTTTGTAGAAGAGGTGATGGAAGCTGGGTTCTTGCTGGGATAACTTCCTGGGGAGCTGCTTGTGCTAGAGGTTGGAATCGTTTCAGAAATAACCATAGAAGGGCATCACTTGGCATTTTTTCCAAGGTGTTTGAGTTAATGGATTTCATCACTCAGACAATGACAGGTGGGTGTCATTTCTATGAATTCCTCCTTCCTCATTTCATTGCAACTCAAAAAATGATCATGCTTCTTTTAAGAATAGTTATTCTATGTTGCAGGTATAATCAGAAATAAGCTTTAAAATAAAGCAAGAATATGGCTGGTTTTCAGTCCCTAATATAATGTATATAAACTTCTAACTCTGAATTAATTAATACTTATTAATTTAATAAGTTAATAAATTTAATAAATAATAAGTTAATAATTTAATAAAATTAATTTAATTTGAACATCAACTGGACCTTCACATTTATGATCATGTAGATTTTCATGAAATGTGGGCTTTTTTGTACTTATGAGATTTTAAAATAGTTTTGCATATAGACTCATTAAGAGGATTCTTTCTGCATTTAACCAGTTGACATAATTTTTTCCTAAACTACGTAAGATCATTAAAAATAAATCACCTGGCACGGGTTTGATCCCCGTTTGGGGAACTAAGATCCCACATGCCCCAAGGCCAAAAAAAAAATCACCCTTTCTCCCATTCACCCTTGTTAATTTTACTTGGCAAGAGTGGAAACATCAGGGAGGCTTTGGAAAGGTATTTTTGTTCTGTGGCACTGAAATCTAGATTCACAAAATAAATATTGGACTGCAGATGCCAAACCTGTCCTCAAGGAACTTCCCAACTACTAGGGGAGACAAAGAAGTAAATGGATAATTGTGATAAAAGGTGAAGTTCACGTAAACCCAGAGAGCTATAAGAACACTGAGGGGGGGCCTAGGGGGCTCAGTTCTGAGGGGCCAGAAGCTTTGCAATGAAAAGGGACAGCATCTGCTCAAGAAAATGGCACAAGGGACAGCCTCTGCAGAATAAAGAGGCATAAGGAAGCACAGCTTACAGGAACAAGCGGTTTAGTGTAAGAACCAAATGTGTTAAAGGCCAGGACCCAGAGCAGCAGAACACAGTGTTTCGCCATCCCTCCCTCCCTCCCTCCTTTCTTCATTGTAGTCCAAGACCAGCCACCTAGCTGATGATTTGAAAAGCACTCCTGCTGCTGGTCCAGCTGAAGACTAGCACCTCCTCAAACAAGAGCCTACTCTCAGCTCACTTTCATTTGGTCTTCAGAGTAAAAGTGTTCTGTTCATTGCCATGACTGCAGGGGGAAATTTTTCTCCTGGTAACAATTCTATTCAGTTTTCATCACCTAAAAAAGAAAGTTAAAAAGGGTAACAAGTGGGCTTCCCTGGTGGCGCAGTGGTTGAGAGTCCGCCTACCGATGCAGGGGACACAAGTTTGTGTCCCGGTCCGCGAAGATCCCACATGCCGCGGAGCGGCTGGGCCCGTGAGCCATGGCCACTGAGCCTGCGCGTCCAAAGCCTGTGCTCCGCAACGGGAGAGGCCACAACAGTGAGAGGCCCGCGTACCGCAAAAAAAAAAAAAAGGTTAACAAGCGCTGAACAAAGGTTAATGGTAACAGTATTTTAAAGTGGCAATGAAATCAGGCAATAACCATCAATTCCACAGTCAAATGAATATCAGAATGTGACAAGTGATTTATTTAAATAACACCTCCTTAATATCATCTTTCTAAGCTTCTCATTCCCTAGTGGCCTGTTCTAGCTTCCAACAATTAAAATGTGACACAGGAGTCTGAAATTTCTGAGCGAATGCTGGAGACTTGCCATGTCATTGCTAAAATTTGTGTACTTTTACTTTAATATCATTATACAAAGGTATTTTATTATAACCCAGGAAATCCTAGTTAGAGATGGGAAAACACCATATTAGTTTCATACACTATAATTTGACAGCTTTCATTATGACTCATGATTTGAGAAAATTGGATAATTGTTAAATCTGAAGAACTCAGGTAAAGAATATTATGAATACTCTTCAGCCATAAAAAAGAATGAAATCTTGCCATTTGTGACAACGTGGATAGGACCTTGAGGGCATTATCCTGAATGAAATAAAGAAAGGCAAACACTGTGTGATCTCACCTATATGTGGAATTAAAAAAAAAAAAAGCTGATAGATACAGAGAACACATTGGTGGTTGCCAGAGGTGGTAAGTGGGCAAACTGGGTGAAGGGAGTCAAAAGTTAAAACTTCCAGTTATAAAATGTCCTGGAGATAAAAATGTACAGTATGATGACTATAGTTAATGATACTATGTTACATAGTTGAAAGTTGTTAAGAGAGTAGATCTTAAAAGTCCTCATCACAAGGAAAAAAATTTTTGTACCTATGTATGGTGATGGACGTTAACTATACTCACTGTGGTGGTCATTTCACAATACATGTAAATAACAAATCATGTCATAAACCTGAAACTAATATAATGTTATGTGTCAATTATACCTCAGTAAAAGTGGGAAGAAAAGTATTATAAAGAATATCAGATGGTTAATTAATAAAATTATTATATATTTTTAAAATTATGATTTAGAAATTTTCCTAACAAAATCTGCAAATACAAAGTATAGGTCATGGCACCTACAAACAAATGCATTTCCATAAATACGAATTATATAATATAAATTATATAGCTTCAAGCTGAGTCTGTACAATATGTCTTGAAATGTCCATGGCTGAGCAAGATAATCAGCTTTTTTTCCTATGTTTTGGAAGATTGTAGGCCTCAGGGAACAGTATTATTTGGAGAAAATGGGAAGATTCGTTATCCTCATTCGAAAGAGAGCAACTATTCTCATAATCGGTACGTAACCCTGGTAGGAATGATCCCTGGGTTTTTCCCCCAAATAAGGCCATTTTAAGGGGCCATGTTTTGGCAATTTTATCTGGTATCCCAATTACTTTATTTGATTAACATAAAACCCTAAATATTTTATCTGGTATTGGATGACAAATATTTGCTAATTGGTATTTCTGATACCTGTTAGTATGAATCATCAACATTAAGGCTGGAGCTTACGAGGGGAATTCCCTGGCAGTCCAGTGGTTAGGACTCCAGGCTTCCACTGCAGGGGGCCCAGGTTCGATCCCTGGTTTAGGAACTAAGATCCCACAAGCTGTGGGGCACAGCCAAAAAAAAACAAACAAACAAAAATAAACAAACAAACAAAGACTGGAACTTAACCTGAATTGATATATTCAAATATCTAACATTAACAGCAGCTGGTAGTGAGATTGTTTTGGGAATCTAGTGGTTAATCCTGTCCCACTTATTTCTGTAATAATTGTAATACTTTGTTCAGTGTTGCCTAGAAGAGGGAAAATAGTTCATGATCTATAAGCTTCAGTATCTTAAGAAATTTTTTACCTACCCTGTCCTCTATATGGCTAAGAATATCTTTAAGCTTTAAAAATTAATTTTGCAACTATCTCATTTTTCTAAGTGTTCTACATTCATTTTTAAAATCGCATTGAGCATTGAAAGGTATTCAAAGGTAGATGAGAGTTCTATGAGTTTATAATCTGGTAGGAGGAAAGAGCTGGACAAAAATAACTATACTATAAAACAGGGTGAAATAACTTTATAATCCACACTACCAAGGTGTGTTGGTACTATTGACAATGGAGAGAATAATTCCTATTGCAGTGATTTGTGAGGTGTGTGTACTGTGGTTGGGAGGGGTAGAGATGCTTCAGTTAAGGGGATGGTATTGAAACTAGACAGTGAAATATAGTTATGATTTTATTGCTCATGAAGTCTTTTGTAGCTCTAACATATAAGAGATTTCTACAGATCATGCCAGGAAGAGGGAATTGTGTATAAGAAATGTCAGGAGGTGAAGAATATCAGGACTGTTTGGACAGTGTGTCCCAGTGCAGCTGGAGAACAATGTTAATGTAAGTAGGAACTGGGGTAGCAGTGGACGATGAAGATAAAAAGGCCTTAATTGTAGAGGACCTTGAATTCCATGTGAAGAAGCTTAGACTTTATGCCATGGGCAATGGGAAGTCAAAATGGTGGTGAGATTATAATTTACAAAATTAATGTAAAATAAATGTAAATATCCATTACAAGTATAGGACAGAAATGATGTGGCTTAATTGCAGCCCATATTTAAAAGGCTTATTAAGAGTCTAAGTTGACTTTCTGTGAGTCAACCTAGTAATAATGTAATACCAATAAAGCCTTTGCCATCTTCGCTTAAACTTTTAGAAGAATAGCATCCAGAGTCCTATTCTGTTAGAGTCCTGGGCTGGGGTGTAGGCAGGAGGTCTCTAGATACAATCGTTAGAGAGGAACATTGATAGGCTGGAAATTACCTGAAGGACAATGACCAAGATAAAAAGAAATTCAAAACAGTGCCTTGGGAGATGTGGTGGAGGGAACTAGGAATATATTCATTCCAAAGAAGACTTGACAGGAGGAAGGAACTGTCTTGATTTATCTGAAAGGCTACCATAGAAGCAGAATTGGACTGTTAGAAGAAGGTAGATTTCAGTACAATGTAAAGGAGTTTCTAATTTGAGAGATTTCTGAGATTTAATGGCCTGCACAGGAGATAATGAATTTCCTTTATAAGTGGATATTTGAGCAGAGGATGGATGGCTATGCGTGAGATTCTAGAAAGCATTTATCTATTGGATAAGATATACACAGATGACAGACAATTTACCCTCAAAGACAGAGAACTTGTGATTCAATTTAGATGAAGTATTGAAGAGATCTCTGCAAGGACTTTCAAGACAGAGGGTGTTCTTAGTAGTATCAAACATTGCAAAAGTCAAAATGAGTTCAGATAAAATGCCATTGGATATGGTAATTCAAAAGTTAGGAACTGATTCAGTAGAATTGTAAGGTTAGAAGCTATATTCACAATGCGTTAAGTGATTGTTGAAGACTTTGTATCTCTTCACCAAATAGTAACAATTAATTGAGGCCCTAAGATGTGTCAGGCACTATTTTAGGTGCTAGTTATACAGCATAGAATGAAACAGACAAAAATGTTTTCCTTTGTGGGGCAAGTTGTGGGGTGGAAAGTGGGGATAATACAGATAATATTACATACAGTAGAAGATGGTAAGTGCTGTACAGTAAAATAAAGCAAGAAGGAGGGGTAGAGAGTGCTGGGTTGTGCAATAATTGGGGAAGATGTTCAGGAGGACTGCACTATGAAAATGATATTTGAACAAAGACTTGAATGAAATGAGTGAGGCCATCAAACGATCATCTTGGGAAGGGATATTCCTGGCAGAAAAAAAAAAAAAAATTAGCACTTAGCTAGAGCTAAGTGAGAGAGGGCAAAAGTGGTCACGATTATGAGTGGCCAAACTTATAGAGCATAAGAAGGACTTTGGATTTTACTGTAAGATATGGAGCCCCTGGAGGACGTTGAGCAGAGGAGGAACATGATCTGACACATTTTAAAGGATCTCTTTGGCTGTTGTGTTGAAAATAGACCATAGAACAGGCGAGCAAGAGCTGAAAGACCAGCTCCTGCAGCAATCCAGGTAAGGATGAAGATAGCTTCGACCAGGTTTGTAACAGTCGAGGTGGTGAGAAGTGGTAGAGCCACAGGATTTGCTAACAACTTGAAAATTTGGGTTTCAGGAGGGAAAGACTTAAGATTGTGTTGAAGGTTTTTGACCTACAGGAAGGAAGGAGCTGCTGTTGTTTGAGATGAGGAAGACAGTTGAGCAGTGAAGAGAAGGAGGAAGATGGGACAGTGGCTTTGGGTAATAGGGCACTAGGATTAAGAGAAATGAGGATTTGCTTTTTGAAGGGTAGGGCTAACTGTTCTTATGGGCAGAAGAGAAAGAGTGATTAGTCAAGAGAAATACATATGTATGTGAAGGAAGTTTCATGAGAACACAACAAATAAAGATTTAGCTTTGGAAAGAAGGAAGATAATTCCTTTCCTGGGAAAGGAACAGAAAATGTCAAGGTAATCTATGGGAAATCTGAAGGAATTGGCACTAGATGCTGTCTTAGTAATTGTAAACTTTGAACTGCTTCATGTTTAGAGAATGAAGTTAAGATTAAATAGTTAAGATATTAAATAGCTTGTAGGGACTAAAGCAAGAAGTCAACTAAAGAGAATAAGACTTTCAGCTACATTACAACTCAATATTAGCATGAATTTGTACCATATTTCAACACATCGAAAACAGACTGGTCGTTCATTGTTATTTTATGTACCACCAATAAAGAAAACAAAATACCCAAGATTAGGAGATCTCCATATAGAAGTGGGACACCTATACCTTCAGTGTAAGGCTATACAAGGCATAAGCCCACTCATGTGGAAAGTTACATGCCTCAACCTTGGCAATGGATATAGGGAGGGGTACAAATCTTCCTGAGAATTTGAATCATAAGCTAATATTCATGCAAGTCTGTAGTCTAAAATTTTCACCACTAGTGTAGTCTAAAACACCTCAAGCAGAAAAATTAAGTAGTATGCAGTCAATAGTACCCTCAGATGACTGGCCAAAACTATTACAAATCCTCTCTTGAAAAACTCTTTCAATACATTGATTGTAAGACTAACATTGTGAGACCCTTCTAACCGAACTTTAAGACTCCGTTGTAAGATCCTTCTGATTTTAGAATGTTCAAATGTGAAAAGACATGTCTTAGAAATGTAATAAGGCATGGAGCCAATTTACCTACTTAGTGACTTCAGCATGCTAAGCAAACTTGAATGATGGAAGAAGGGTCTTTTAAATTCCAAATGGAGTTAATTAGCCAATGGTAAGGGAGAAAGAGATAATGTGAAATTGAAGCAGGGAGTTATAGTCTCTCCAAGCCTGTCTTTATTCTGGTAGGTGGTAGCTAGACTCTCAGAAATGGCAGATTCATGGCATTCAGATGGTCTCCTTCCATGGAAGATGTTACATCTTTTAGAGCCTAGAACAGTACCTGGCATATAATAAATGCTCCATAGATTTTTTTTTTTTTTTTTCCTTGCGTTATGCGGGCCTCTCACTGTTGTGGCCTCTCCCATTTGCGGAGCACAGGCTCCGGACGCGCAGGCTCAGTGGCCATGGCTCACGGGCCCAGCCGCTCCGCGGCATGTGGGATCTTCCCGAAACGGGGCACGAACCCGCGTCTCCTGCATCGGCAGGCGGACTCTCAAGCACTGCGCCACCAGGGAAGCCCTCCATAGATATTTGAATGAATAAACCAATGATTAATTCTGGTACCCCTCTCTCACTCAGCTTGACTAGACCTCAGAATCCTTTTAATGCAGCAATCACTAACAATAAATCAAGGTTGGCATGTGACTTGAAATCTATTTTCCATCTTTGAGTTAGAGATTTTGAATTAGAAAATAATATGATGAAAACAGGAGAAAACAGTGGCCTTTGAAGTCATAAAGCCTAAACTGTATTTCCCATTATATGTGAGATGTGATGACTCTTTCAATATCAATGCCAGTTTTTCTATTTGGAGAAGGGGGAGTAATTTCTCTCCTGCCTACCTCAGAGGGGGGGTAATGAATTCCAAGAAGGAAGATGGATATGGAGTGCTTTTCCAACTAAAGTGCTTAGAAAAGTGCGCATCGTCATATTTTAGGCAGCTTATTGCTTTTTAAATCAAAGTGATTAAAAAGTAATTTTAATAATATTTTAGGCAGTCTATTTTTACATCTAGTTCAGGATGATGAGCTTGAATAGAAAAAGAGTAAAGCAAGGAGTTTCTGGTTAAGGAGAAGATGTTTGGTGAGAATTACAGTGTTTGGTTTTGGAAACTGGGCATAAAAGGGTTGTATAACTCCTACAGTCCTGAGAAGTTATTACTTGGAGGGCAGTGGGACAGTTAGCATGTCTAAGGTTGTTGATAAAGACTATGGAGTTTTAGAAGGAAGCTCGTTCTGACATGTTAGGTTCCAGGTAAGATTGCTTTGCACTCACTCACAAACATAGAAAATGAACTATGGTTACCAAAGGAGGGAGAGGGGTGAGGAGGGATACATTAGGAATTTGTGATTAGCAGATACACACTACTATATATAAAATAGATAAACAACAAGGACCTACTCTATAGCACGGGGAACTATATTCAATATCTTGGAATGACCTTTAATGGAAAAGAATCTGAAAAATAAATATATATATATATATATATATGTATGTATGTGTAACTGAAATACTTTGAAACATTGTAAATCAACTATACTTCAAAAAATTAAAAAGTAAATAAATGAACAATGAAAATCATGACAGAGGGTCACTTGTCAATTAAAACAAAAAATTGCTTTGCACTCACATACATGTGAGCCATAGAAGACCCTGAGGATGTCTGGCCGATTGGGATTTCTTTTCTTGAGTAAATAGTATGAATTCACGTAGAAAAATAAAGGTAAATGATTGTGTGTTAAATTATTAAACTACTTTCAAAATGTTAAAACATGTTTCTAAAGATATTTGTGAAAGGTCACAGCTTACCTTACTGGAAGTTGGATAACATCGCAACTACAGGGATTATGACTTAGGCTGACCTAGGAGGATGTGGCTGCTTTGGGTTGAAATATGCTGCATGTTCAATCCATAATTCATAATCCATAATTCAACTTCTGGGTGAATATTATGAATTTTCAATTAGACTAATAAATTAGAGAGATGAATCTTAGCTTTCTTAAATTCGTAGATCAAAATTCTTGCATTTTATAACTAAATGAAATTTAAAGGGTGGTTTCTGACCATTCTCTAATTAATACTGCTCCATTTCTTGGAGAAATGCCAGCAATTTGAGCATAAACAAATTATTCTCACATAAAGCATTTCCTTTGCCTTTTACCTTCTAATATCCTGTAAAATTTTAGTATTGAGTTATGAGCTAAACCTCAGATATTAGATCTTATTTGTCACACTTGACTCTGCCATTTATTATACTTTCTTCACTTTCTCCTCTGCAGCTTATGTATCTGGAAAATAATGGTACCAGAAAATAAAATTATCCTAATAAAATTTACAAGCTTAGACATAGAAAATCAAGTTGAATGTGACCATGACTGTGTATCTTTACAATCAAGCAGTGGAGTGCTTATTAGTGAGTATGCTACATTTATTTTCATTTGTCATTTTAGAGTATCCAAACAACCAAAGAGGGGCTAAAGGATCTGAAATTAGATTTCTGCACACAGGGGAATTATTTCATCTTGCAAACTGTGCCCTTCTGAAGGGGCCAAGAGTGTATGTGGTAAGAGTGGAAGCAAAGACCAGCATATTTCCTGAGGTTTATCGATTCCTTTCTCAAGTTTAATAGCAGTATTGAACGAAATTGATCTCACAATTGTCAGAAACTTCCTTTCAAGGCCATGTCAGTTTTTTCCTTCTTACCACAAAAGTGGGTGCATGTTTGCCAAATCTGGTACAGACAGAAAGCATATGGAAGAAAATATAAACCATTCATAACCTTACCACCTGGACGTAAATGCTGCTAACATTTTGATGTATATTTATCTATACATATTAACTGTACACACTGAACTCTACATTGTTTTATAATGTTCTTTTTTCTCATGACAATAGATAATTTCATGTCATTTCATTTCTTTTGTTGAATACCTCTTATAAGCTATATAAGCATAACTGATATATTTACTTTAATTGAAATATTATTATGTGTTAAGCGTGATAGAAGGTCTCTGGAGCTGGCATAGACCTCGGTCTCTAGGTCTCCATATGGCCAATGATTAGGATAAATATCTCTTCAGAAGTATTTGACAGAATGCTATAGTCAAGGTATTGTGCTAAGGGTTATAATATTTATTGACTAAATGCTTTCATGCTTCAGGCCTTTTTACCCAGTAATCATTCTTTAAACCAATCATTAAACCAGATATCATACCAAGTACTGGATGTATACAGAGTAAAAGCAGTCTCTGCCCTACTGAGCTTGCAGTTTGGTGAAGTAAATACAGGTGTACCACAAAGTAGGAAATGGCGTAGAGTAGGATATGTGCCGTGGGGTTCAGAAAAGCTCTCGTTTCCATTGGTTGTCAGGGAATGTCTATGGAGAGCTGGACTTTGAGTTAGACCCTGAAGGATGAGTAGAATTTGGACATGTGAGATTGGGTATGAGGAAGTAAATGGAGTATAAATTATTGAAGCAGATTGTAGAATGAATTAAAGGGACTACTGTATACTTTGGTGTATTTAGAACAGAGAGTTCATGGAAGGTAGTATCAGAAAAGCATGTGTCTAAGTTTGTTTCCATCATTTTTCAGTAATCTTTTTTCAATTTCTTTTGCTTTTAAGGTAAGGTCTGTGGAAATATATTGCCCTCACCATTGCTGACAGAGACCAATGAGGCCACAGTTACCTTTGTTTCTGATACAGACAACCGTGGCAGCAGCTTTGAGCTTACCTTTACTGCTATACGGAATAACTCAGAAGCAGGTAGGTATTAAATCAGGCATGCAATTCCCTGCTGTTTTTCTATGATATGAGGGTGAGGAAGAGGGAATGCCTTTGGCTATTCACCTAGGATTTCCGCAACACTTCCATAGGTTCAGGATGTGGGAGTGGGGCTGTGCTGGTGGTGGAAGGGATGATTCACTCTGCCGGCTATCCTCACCTGTATCCCAGGAATGTAGGGTGTCACTGGTTGATTCATGCTCCAGAGAAACACATTATAAAAGCAAGCAACTAAGGAGGCCTTTGCTTCATCAAGAAATTAGCTGTGTGTGTTTAGCAGAACTTGCTTCATCAGGACTGTTAAATTGTCATATGATTAAGATGTTCTATTTGTTTTTTTTTTTAACTCTAAAAGGGGATCTTTGTATGTAGTTTAAAATGTTTTGTCAGTTTAAAAGAGACTAAAACAAAAAGTTAAGTCTCCTACTCATCTAACTCCCATCCTACTTCCTGAAATCAAACACTGATAAGTTTCTGGAATATCCATAGAGAGAGATTCTGAGTATTTACAAACATGTATATATTCATATTTCTTGGCAGTGTTTTCTCTACTTAAAAATATCTCAAGGATCTTTCTAGATAAGCCCAGAGGGCTTCTTTATAACAACTGCATTAAATTATATTGTGTGATGTCCCTTAATTTCTTACACCAGTTCCCTATTAACAGACTTCTAGTGATTTGCCAGTCTTTGCCCATGCCAGCAATGCTGGTATGTTCCTGTGTCACTGTTTTTGGACAATGTGGATGTATATAATTCCCAGAAATGGACTCACTGGGTCAAAGGGTTTGTGTCTTTAAATCTGGTAGTAATTTCCCTCCAAAGAGGCTGCAGTTGTTTACCCTTCTACCAACGGAATATGAGGGTGTGACTGAGAGCCCTTTAATGTATAGAGGGAAATTTTAAAAGTTTATATCTTCTCTTTGAGCACTTCTCTGGTTATGTTTATAATTTATTCAGTTGACATTTGAAGACCTTAGTATTTAAGCAAAACTGTACTCATGCTGTTATGATTTATGGTGATCCTGAAGAGGAACATGGGTTGGGTGGTAACATTCTGTCCTTTAAATTTAATCTGGAAAGTATGAGACAAACCAGAGTAGTTGGAGCATTGGCTAGCTTCCTTGGATACCATGAGGTAGAGTGGGGATATGAATTTCTTATACTGGAAACTCGTGATGCCATAAAACTTTAGCTTTAAAATCTATCACTTCAACTGATTTACCAGTAAAGTTTTTAATAGAAACATGCAAAATTTGAAGAATGTTTCAGAATATTTGGAAGGTGAAAAGGAGGTCCCAGGGAAAAAAGAATATGTTAACACTGAGTAAATTTTTGGCAGCGATTTAAGGTAAAATTTTAAACTATTTTTTCTGTATTAATCCCTTCAATTGCTGATATATTCATTTTTATGTCCAAGAAAAGTAACCAAAAAAAGATTATTCAAAGCTATAATTTCTATGTGAGCCCTAAAAGTTAATTTTTGAACTAAATCTTCAAATATCCTTTCAGCTTTGACCTACCAATTTACTGCGTATGAAAAATTATCCCTTCTGGCCATGTTGCCACATCCTTAACACCTACTATGTGTCCCTCAGCTAGGTGTAGTGTGGGTTGGAGACCAGGAATATAGATAACTTTGGAATGTTTATTTGGATAGGGCAGGTGAAGGGAGCCCAATTCCCGGATGCAGCAGATCGGGACCCATATAGAGTGGGGTTTAGGTGAAGCAGATTTCAGATGTGTTACCTATCACATAAAGTGTAGCCCCGCTCTGTTTGGAAGGAGGAATACCAAGTTTGGGATTTTCTTTTTTTTTTTTTTTTTTGTGGTACGCGGGCCTCTCACTGCTGCGGCCTCTCGCGTTGCGGAGCACAGACTCCGGATGCGCAGGCTCAGCGGCCATGGCTCACGGGCCCAGCCGCTTCGCGGCATGTGGGATCTTTCTGGACCAGGGCACGAACCTGTGTCCCCTGCATCGGCAGGCGGACTCTCAACCACTGCGCCACCAGGGAAGCCCCTGGGATTTTCTTTAATTCACCTCTTCTCATTGTCTATAAATTAACAGCCAACCGAGGTTTCTATGCATACTAAAAGTCAGATATTCTTGCCCTATCTATAGAGTTTTTCCTGCGAGATAAAATTATAGTACATTGTTATCCTGAAACTAGTGTTTGATTCCCACATGAAATGGAAGGGTACAAAGCAAAGTTGGAGAAAACAAAACTTTTTGGAAGAAAATTAATTGGGTGATGTTTTACCTCTGTTTTCTGATTTTTAATTTTTTGTAACTATAAAGCAAAGTTCCCTAAAACTTTTACAGCCAAGCTTTGTGAAATCTTGAACGCTACTCGGGTATTCAGTCCTGGTAATATGATGGTGATTCATTTTAAAACTGATGGTGAAAAGAATTTCCAACGCTTCAAGGCTAGGTTCAGCGTTTTACCCTCAGGTGAGTAGAAATACTTGTATGATTGTGATATTTTGCTTATGAAAATGGTTATAGGGAAGGTAATTTAACCATGTTCACCTAAATTTAGGGTGCTTGAATCACCTAGGTAGCAAAGTTAAAATGCAGATTCCTGGGCCCACCCCCAAAGATTTTGATTCTGTAGATGTGGAATGGGGCCCTGGAACCTGTGCTTTAGGAAGTACTTCAGATGATGCCAAGAAACTATGTCCACTAGATGATCAAAAAAGATTCCAAGCACCTTATATGAAAAGTAGCTAATTCAGATTTGAGAGTGTAACTCAGAAATGAGATTGGCTCTGTTTGGGGATATTTGAGGGCTTTGAAGGATTAGTATGATTCTAGTCATTCTAGAAAATAAAGTAGCCTTTACTCAGACAAAAGGAATATCGTATGCAAAGACCCTAATGTGAAAGAGAATGGATGTTGTACAGAAAACTACAATACCTCAAAGTTGTTGGAGTTTTGGAGGGAATGATAAAAAAGGCGAGAGTTAGATCATGATGGACACAGGATATTAAATGTTAAGTACCACAGTGACAGCATATCTAGTTAACATTTATTGATTACTCACCCTGTACCAGGTATGGACTAAGCATTTCACATGTATTATTACATTTATTCCTCAGTACAAACCTAAGAGGTTTGTATACTGTTCCCCTTTTCACAGATGAGGGAACAGAGGCTTAGGGGTTCAATAACTTTCCCAGAGGTGCATAGCTGGCAAGAGGTGGAGCCAGAATTCAAACCTTAGTGGTAATGTAGAAGACGGCGTTAGAGGTTAGGGGTGAACTCACTCCCAAGGAGAGTAGTGAGGAAATCATGGTAAGAATTTATTCTGACATTGCTTGATTAGTTATGTTGTGGGGAAGGAGATATATGAAGAAGAAAAATTCTAGCATGATTTCCAGGATTCTAGCTTGAGTGGCTGCATGGATGGTAGAGTCATTAAATGATACAGAAAAACATAACAAGACCATCTTGACAGTTAAAATCAATTGATTCCATTTGAGATATGTGGATTTTTATGAGCTTGTGGGAGATTCAGATGGAGGTATCCAGCAGTCCTAGAATTAGTCCTAGATCTAGCAGTCCTAGATCCAGAATTCAGGAAGGAGATTTAGATCGAAGATGGACATTTGGAAGTCATATATATGTAAATGAATAAAAATAGGGCTATGAACAGTACTTTCGTGGAATATCTTTCAGAATGAAGAATAGGATCCTGAAATAAAGACTGAGATTGGGAAAAGATGACCATAGATATATTTTTAAAAAAACAGGAGAGTAATTTCATGGAGCCAAGGAAGGAAGAAATGCTTAAAAGGGTACAACAGGGATATTAAGAGATATACGACCAAATCACATGTATGGGATCTGGCATTTAACATTTGAAAGATAGTAGTAGTTAGATCAACT